ATTTGAAAGAGGAGACGGTCAGGATGAGGAGAGAATGATGATGATGTTGTTGATGAGAAGTACGAGAAACAAGCTTCAATGCTACATACATATGTACATCTCCTGACATCATCAATATGCCTCGTTTCAGATATCAAGCCAAAATCTGACCGAGTCAACCTGCCATCCTCTCTCTCTCTCTATGTTTCTCCCTCTCTCTCTCTCTCTCTCTCTATATGTCTCTTGTAATGTTTTGAAAGCAAAATTCGTAAAAATAAAGATGAAAGAAAAGACAAAAAAATGTAAAATATTTACCCTTTGTGTTTGATTAATTAAGTATTGGAAAGAGAATTTGCACTCCACCAATGACCTCATTTGAATGTTTTTTCCATAACGTTTTTCGCTTATTTATTATGTATCTCTTTACTTTTCTACAATATTATTGTGAGATATGATGCTTTAAAGGAATTTACAGAACTTTCCCACCAAACTCGTTATGATATTTGGAATAGAATATGAAGAGAGTGAGAGAGATTGCAACAGATAGAGAGAGAACAGATTTGAAGGGAAGCAGTTGAAGAGAATAGAATGACTGAAACAAAAAAAGGAAAATGAGAATTAGAGAGAAGGAGGAGAGGATTGTGAGAGAGAGTGAGTGAGACAAGGAAGAGAATAAAAAAATGAAATTATAACTCTGAGGGAGAGAGAGAGAGAGAGAGATAGAGAGGGAGGAAGCAAATGAAGATGATCAACCATTCTCAGCGCAAGACAAATCATAAATGAGAATGACGTGATTTTTGTAATTTTTCACGTGTCCGTCCAATCAGCATGACGTGAACAATACGTGAAATTAGAATGCTTCAACGTTAATCTTAATTAGTTATCCAAATAGAAAGAGCAAACCTTGCTTACATGTCTGAACATGAGTAGAATCAAAAAGAAACTTTCTGTTCTCATTGTCCATTCTCTCTCTCTCTAGTTCTCTCTTTCTATACCTCTCTGTTACTTGTTTCAATAGTAGCTCTACGTGAAGTTGTGAACAAAAAACAAAGAAAAAAGAAAATTTTTTGTATTTCATTTCAGAAACTTTCAATTTCGGAAGATGATAGGTGTTGTTCGTGTCTCGAAACCATTGTGTATACTTGAATCTATTTTAACATTGAAAAAATAAAACAGTCCAATAGTCTACAGACAAAAGATATTTTTACTTTGCAATAACATGTCGATTATGCAGTTTTGGAAAATTTCTCCACAAGCTCTCATCTTTCACCTTCCATGTTTGTATTCAATGAAAGCACAATAGATGAAGATTATTAGGAGAAGGAAATGATTTTTGCTATTTGTAATATTCTGTCTATGTCTGTCTTCCTCCCTCCATCCCTCTTCCTCATCTTTGGCTTGATTCTTTAATCTCTGTCAGCATACTATAGCATGGTTAGAGCAGTTGAGATTAATAAGCGGTCGTTAGATTTATAAAAAAAGCTGACACATAAGAGGAAACAGAGTATGGTGGACCTCCAAATTACTTCCTAATCACTTAAAGAGAAGGCGATGTAAGCGCTTTAACCTCATATGTTTACTTTCATATAACTTATTCTTACATTTTGACGAACAACTGCATATCTGTTGTTTTAATCTATCTGTACTTCATTTGACTGTTTCAAGCTCATCCCCTTCTCTATCCTGCTTCTATGGGCCATCATATTCTCCCACTCATTGTCATCCTTTCGTTACTCTCTCTTTACGCGTTTCTCCCTCTCATCTTTGACTCCTTCCATTCTCTCCTAACGCACTTTTTACTTAAAAATGGTGAAATGTGTGACTTTTTTTGTTCTCTCTCCTTCTTACAATGGTTCACAACCAGTGTTTACAAAAACTTTTTCATATTTTTCCAAAAAAAACTGCACTTGAAACCTACAGAAGGTAGTGTAGAATTAAGAAAAGGCGGGCACATACGAGGTTGGACCAGAAAGCTTATATATAAGCTTCTAAAGAGAGAGAAAGTAACTTCAGAGTTGCATTCCGTTGACAATTGTTCAATCTAGACGTCATCTTCATATAGAGCTTATATAGGAGAAAGAGTCATTTCTAATGCTTCTTGTCTTCGTCATCAATAATCACACATGTTTCATCTTTGACATCACGTTTCAGATTTATTCTCAACATGAAATCTTATCAAAATTTCAATTCTCTTTTTTTCTTTTTTCATTTTCCCTTTTATGAGAAATGATCTCTCTTCAGTGAGAGCAAATGAACTCAATATCTCTCTCTCTCTGTCTCTTTCTGTCTCTTTTCGTTCTCCAGATCTGTCTAGCCCTTCACAACAGACTGTCTATCATTATACCTCTCTCTGTATTCAAAGTTTTTTTAAACTTAAAACGTTCAGAGACCCAAAATTTTATTTATTCCTTCTCAATGGAACATATTTTCCTCTTATCGCTCTTTTTCTCAAAGAGTTCACCTACTCTCATCTCTCCCATGCCTCTCTGGTTAGTTCTTATTTTAGTTGGAGTTGAAAGACAAAGGTTCACAGAGCATGAGATGCTCATTCCTCTTCAATTATTTAAAGTTTTCTCTAAAAATATTATTTGATGTACATCTGATGCAAAGGTGAAAACACCATTCCTGAATTCCTTCTTCTCTTACTTCCAAATATGGAACAGAAGATTTGTATTTCACTTCTGTGTTTGTGAGGTTAACAACACAAATTATCAAACATCACGATATTCCATTATTGTTTTGTTGAAAACAAAGAAGGAGATAGAGAAAGAGAGAGAAAGAGAATGAGAGAGAGAGAGAGTATGTGTGTGACAGAGCACAGAAGCTCTCTTCTTTGGTTTTTTTTTATTTTTTTCCTGAAAGCAGGAAAAAAAAATATTTTAAACGATCTCTTGAAATGTGAATAATGCTTCTTCTGTCCATTCCATAAATGTAGTTTAGACTTTGTGCATCTTGTGCTACTTCTAACATCTCAATCTGTTCTCTCTATAGCTCATACAAGCCTCTCCATTTCTATCTCGCTCCTCTTTCCCTCACAATTTATACATTTTTACCGTTTTTTGTGTCTTTCTCAACTCCACTTGTCGCATGCTTCTGAGAAGAACCAAAAATCATCAGTTTTGTATACAATTTTGTGGAGAAAAAAAAAGGGAAGAAAAAAACAATTTCTTTTTCGTGAATATCAATTATCTGTTCTTACTTTCTACTTTTCATTCTTGCAAAAGGCAAAGACGGAGGAAGCAAAGACACTTTTCAACTAGGTAAGAAGGCAGAAGATCAGGTGTTAAAGAAAGAGAGGCAAAGACTGAATGAGAAAAGAACTGACGGAGAGATGGTGTTAAAAGCTAAAAGCTCAATAGAGTGAGCTAGAGAGAAGGTGAGGGGGAGGCAAAATGATAAATAGATCTAAAAGTAATATAAACTATATATTATGTATTAAAAATAAACTTTGCCTCTTCATTCTTAATACTCTCTCCCATCCTTATACTCTCTCTACTTAATACATTCACCGCTCATATTAAAAGGTCGCACTTTACGTGATTTGCGTGAAAACAGAAAAAAAAATTTTCTTCTTCTCATTCTTTCTCCCTCTCTCTCTGGACTCTTCCTGCCTTTTAAGGAAAAGCTATCAAACCTTCATCTCTTTCCATCTCTCCCTCTCTCTCTCTCTGTCTCTTTCTACTTCTCGTTTTATATCCAAATTCGTAGGAGAAATCTATTTAGTTATCCGTTTTTTTTTCTTTTTTCTCATTCCATACAAATTACAGTCCGACTTGACTAATACAAGACTTCCTTTGCCAATCTGTTTCCTTCAACTGTCAATCTCCTCTCTCTCTCTCTCTCATTTGACTGTTTCGTTGGCAGACCTTTTCTCTTTTCAATTTTTCTTTTTTCAATTACCTCTATTTTTGAATTATTAAGGCTTTGTGGTCTGAATGAACTTGTAAAATCATTATAGATGTTACATGATGAAGTCATTTGAAGCCATTAAAAGAAATTTTTTCATTCGTCTTTGAGTATTTTCTTCTGTCGTGCATTAGCCTCTTCTCTCTCTCTCTCTCTCTACTCAATCTCTCTATATCTCTCTCTATCTCTTTCCACTCCGTTTTTAAACGAATATTTTCAAACAATTCACATGTTAAATCTATGATTTTCCTCAAATTATTTGTTTATCATCAGTCATGCATTCCATAATTCATCATCTGATGAAATCGATTAAAAGCTTTATCCATAAATTACTTCATCATCATCATTGTTGATGAAATTAATAAAAAAAAGAAGAAAAAGAGGAGATAGAGAGGAAAGAAGAAGAGAGAAAAGAATATTTTTTTTGTTCATTTTAAGTTATTAATTATGAATGGAGAGAGTTAAATCATCACTTACGAGTCAGATGAGCCGGAGAAGAACCCATGTTAGACACGCCTATGCGTCGTCAAAGCTTTTCGCAAAATAAAAAAAAAAAAAAAAAGGAGGGAAAGAGAGAGAAAGAAGGTAGCAATAGATGTATTGAGAGAGTAAGAGAAAACCAATTAGAATCATCGAGAATCAGAGAGGTAGAGATGAACAGGAAGGGGGAGGAGATAGTGTGTGGTTGAGCTAATTTTTCTTTCCTTTCTCATTCTAATAACTATACAAGATATGTTAAGGTTCATCTCTCATCTCTCAAGCTTTTCAAATCTTTTCTCTCATCCGATTGTTCTATTCAAGAGTTTTTCAAAGATGACTATATGAACTTTAGACGTTATTTTGCTCCATTTCAATTTTCATCATCATTTTTGCAAACAAAAAGCCCAACCAATGAGATTTAACTAATAAGGAAATCAAACGAATCTGTTTCTTCAACACACAAAAGCTTTTTCAGTTTATTCTAATTTGTTCTTAATTTCATGTACTTTAATGTAAATTTACTTGTATAACAACAGACTTTTTCAGAATCTATCGCCTTCCACCACTCCATCCAATCCTTTCCAACACTTATAACACTCAGTTTCTCAAACACACACACATTGTCCATATAAGACATGGATATGGACGATAATGCAACGTTGATCAACCCAATACCAGTTCCAACCATACTACTGGGAGATTATATTGAGATGGCAGCTTTACTTATCATTATTGCTATTGGTTTGCCCTCAAATATCTATATTCTAGTTAAATTACTAAAAGAATTACCACGTACACACACTGATTCAGTTAAAGTAAGCTTTTTAAAGATAATAGTAAGAGTCAGAAGCTTAGTGAAAGAGAGTATGATGGAATAGGAGAGAAAGAGAGGATGAGAGATAGAGAGAGAGAATGGAAGCAACCGTTCAATGCGTTCAAATGTTAGAAATGAAGTTTGGAGGTGACCCTATGTTCACGTGCAATGACGCGTCACGTGACGTAACATTATATTTTTGCAAAAATATATAATATTATAATAAATTTCATTATGTTTCAGGGTGGATTTCTAGTATTAAAAATCAATTTGAATATCTCCGACATATTTCTGTTAACATTAGCATGTGGAAAGCTGATATGGCTTTATACATATCGTTGGGCATTTGGATCAATTGCTTGTAGGTGAGTAACAAACTCATAGCAACATGATAGATGAAGCTGAAGAAGCTGAAGAAGAAGAAGAAGCATAAACCAAAGACTATATGAATCTTATTATAGATTATACCAATACCTATCAATATGCTCATTATATGTATCATCGAATATAGTCGTATGTATAGCACTTGATCGTCTAAAAAACGTACTGACAGCTCATAAGCCATATAGATCTCATAGACGAGTACGTTCCTTTCATTTCATTCATTCGTAGTACTCTCCCTTTGGACATTCATTTTTACTCTCTCTCTCTCTCTCTTTCATTCAAACACTCAGTCACTCTTCGTTCGTTCACTTATGGCAACGGCAAAGAGTAGAAGAGAGAAGACAGTTAAGAAGAAAAAAAAAATTTTTTTTTCAACGTTCAAAGAGCAGATTATAAATTATCTTATGAAGCTTTCATAACGATCCATATTTAGTTTAATCCAGTGACTATGATGACATCTATAGCATGGGTATTCGGAGCAGCGTGTGCTTTACCTCAGTTCTTCGTATTTGACACCATCAATCTGGCACCCGAAAATCCCGATGGATGGTATCAATGTACGGACATTTGGCAGATTAACGAGTAAATATTGAATTGAATTGGAAAAACGATAACGGAAAATGATTTTCAGAGTAACTGGCGATCAAACATCTCAATCATTTCTATTGAATGAAGGATCAAAAGATATCTACAATATCTCACATTTGGTAATTATTATAAAAATAATTAATTAATTAAATTTCATTTGAATATTTCTTTAGCTGACTGTCTTTTGGGGTCCCATGATCGTTTTACTAATTTGTTATGTGATAATTGCTATGAAATTGGGAGTCTATTCAGTTGGTCGTATCAATGGACAGGTATGAGATATTCAAAAATACATTTTGGACGTGTTTGTATTTGACTAATTACAGGAGACAGTTCATGAGCCTTGCATGTCTCATACGGATCATTTAACAGGTTCGTTTTCTTGGAAATAATATGTTGAAAAGACTTTTTATACAAATTGTCTTTTTGCATTTTCATTTTTGTACTCTACCGAATCATATCATCTGTTTTCAGAAGATGGTGAGAGCGTTGGAACTAAGACTTCAATACGGATGTCAATTAAAAAAGTAATTTTCAAGGATTTGTTTAAATATTTTTTGTATTCCTCTAAGATTTCGTATTATATGAGGAAGTTTATATATTCTAAAAATGCTCATTAGAAGCTGATTGAGGTGACAACACGAGTGTATCTGTCTGTATATGTGTGTGTGTGAGTATGTGCGTGTGTGGATGTGTGGATGTGTCATGAGCGCTTCTAGTATGTTATTCCCAAATGAGTAGTAGCATATGCTATAGTTAACCATCTCTATACTATATTTGGGATCAGAGATCTCTGATAATATTAGCGTATTAAAAATATATCTGTCCCAACCTCATAATATCTTTTTTTTTCTATTTTTTAATATTATTTTATAATTTATAGTTTACATTGGACAAAGTACGAAGACCTACGAATTCTACGTCATGCTCATCATCATCTAGAGTTCCAATTGTTCAATTTCAAAGTTCTGCTACAGGTAATGATGATGATTAGGCACGGAAATATATTCAATCTTATAGCTTCTATATATACAACAGCTAGACCAGGATGGCGAAAACAGATGAGAAATAAAATCTTTCGAACAACCCTATTAGTTGTTGTGACTCATATGTTCTTCTGGTTTCCATATAATGCATTGGGATTGATGAATTACATCAATGAGCAGTTATACAGGTAAGGAGTAATCAGATAATCCTTCATCATGACGAACGTTATTGCCTTTTCAGGGATCTTAGTGTGCATGCGAATGTTTTCAAAGACATGCAATTTCTAATTACATTGATTAATCCATTTTTATATGGCTTTGTTAGTTAAATTTTTAAAATAATTTTTATATATTAAAATATCATCTTTAATTATGCTAATCATGCTATGTATACACACCAGTTGTAAGATGTTAAGCAACATCACTCACAACCTCAATCACATCCTCCTTCATTTCAATTCTTTACTTCCCTTCCTTCATAACCAATCTTTATTCCTCCTCCCATCATTATCTCTCTCTCTTACTATCTCTATCTCTCTCTCTCACTATCTATTCTTCTCTAACATACACCCTCTCTACATCTGAGAATATGAAAAACGGCTTTACGGGTAAACCCATTTGGATTGTATGTTATGAAGATGTGAGAATACTTTGTATTTAACTATATCATATATAAATCATTATATTTCTTAACTTATTATCTTGTTTTACACACACACACACACACAGAGACACACACACAGACAGATATACCACATCTGAATGTTGACATCACTTTCCAATTTCATCTTTCATATATGAATTAACAATAATTTGGCCAATTTCCAATAGAAAACTTTCCAGCCAAACGAACAGCCCCGTGCTTTTTCCAACAAAATTTTGAAATTTTCTTCCTTTTCCCTCTCTCTCTCTCTATGTATGGGTATGTGCATGTGTACCTGATACTCTCTCTCTATATCAATCTCCCTCACTAACTTTACAACTGATTGACAGAGAGAAATTATGGAACAAAAAAGGAAATTTATGAATGAAGGACAACGCATATATAGCTAATACCATATAAATCGTATATCCTTATTGAGTTAAATCTCTTCATGGAACGATTAGTTTGACAAAAACAAAATTCGTTTTGCAACAAAAATCTTTTCTTAATCATCTGTAGATAACATAAGCTACTGCTTATAAGCTTTATAGGTTAAAAGGATTCCAAGCAACAACACAATCTGATGCATTACCTGAGGCTGCTGTTGCTGCTTTTACTAAAAGCTAATCGAAGATGTTTCTATCGGTCACTACATACATGCATACACACACACATAGAGTATATGTACACATGTTCATGCCCATACACACACAACCAGATGCACACAGATGCACACAGATACACAACCCTTGGAAACGGGCCCGTCGAGAATATATTTTTTTTTGTTTTATTTTCTTTTTTATTTGAAAAAAAATTATTTATAACTCAATAACTATAGGAGACACGTCATTCCTCTCTAACAAATGAATAAGAAAAGAGATGTAGCCGTTGGTCTCACCAACAACTAAAAAGGAGAAGATCAAAATCTAATTAGCATACGTCAATTGCTATGTATGCTTAAAGTCGGAAGCTAATATTCGAAGAAAAAATAAAAATAGAGGGAGGAAGACAGGATGAGAGAGATTGAGAGATTAAAGAGAAGAAGACATGAGAGGGAGGTAGTCTTTATCAGGTTGTAAGACAAAGACAAGCATATAATGTATGTTTTGAAGAGAGTTATCATCGATAGCAAGAGAATAAAGATAGAGTGAGAGAATAAAGAGAGAAAGAGAGAATAGAGAGAGAGAGAGAGAGATAAATGAACAACCGCTTTTCCGTCTTTGTTGAAAAATAAAATAAAAAAATCCTGACGTAACCCTGTGAATTCACGTGGAATGTTCACGCGGCATATTATGGAAGAGATTATTGAAATTGGTAGAAAAGATTAGTTTCCTTTTAATCTGATGAGGTTTAACTAATGTGAAAAAATGAGAAAGTCGTTCAAAAACTTTCATTTTCAGATCATTGTTATAGCCGGCCGAAGACTCGTGCTTACTCTCTCTTTACATCATCTTTTCTGAAAAATTTATATTCTGAGCTTGTCAGTCATATATACTTATACTGATACAATGAGGGAAACATTCATACAGAATGAAAAAGAGAGAGGGAGAGAGAGAGAGAGGGAGAGAGAGAGAGAGAGAGAGAGAGAGAGAGAGAGAGAGACTTAGCTAGGTGCACGTACATAACAGTCAATGCCAATTATGAGAGAACATTCATGATAGGGAGATATGAAGTTGCTGGAAAGGAAATCGGAGTTTATTCCAAAGCTGATAACGATTCCAACGAGATTCTTTTATGGATTTCAAGTTGGAAAGCCCTCTGGCTTACCTCCCGCTAAGATGGATTTCCGTTTTTTGACAAAAGTTTGTTTGTAAAGGAACAGCTTTTCCTTCTCTGTTGGGGCTGTCCAAAACTCCGCATCTCACCAGCAGAAGCAAACCAGCAGTCGTTTTGTTCAAAAATTCATTTTTTATATTTTCTAATCTTCAAATGAAGTCATTTGTAAAAAAAAAAAATTATAAAAATTGTTTTTGGCAGTTATGAGTGACGTCACACTCGATGTTCATCTTCATCCGAATTCAGATGTGTCGAAGAGATAAAAGGTCATTCGGCTTGCTTGCTCTTTCTTTTTTTTTGTTTTATTTTCGGGCACTATAGTGTTTCCTTATTAAGTAATGAGGTACTGCGGAACCTTATATGGCAGAAACATTTTTTCAATATCTGCTCCTCTTTCGTGCTTTTCGTAGGCAAACTGCCAACTTCAGATGAACAACGACTAGTAGTACATACGTAACGTGTTCATTCTCTTCGGTCTTCCCTCCTTAAACCCTTGCTCTCCATGTTTAAACATCAAAAACGTCTGTTAGTTTTTTGAGTGTTTTGGTGAAATTAGCATATGTGTAATGCGGCTGCATTTTCAATATTATTTCTCCGAAAAAAATAAAAAGAACTTCATTCTTCGTCTCCTTTTTTTTTGTTCTTTTGTTTCATCGGAGATTTTTGGAACTTGGAAAAAGGGGAAAAGAAGCTCTCACTTTCTTCATTCACACAAACCAAAAAAAGAAGACAACGAACAAGAACTTATTAGACTTCATACTTCCTCCTATCCACTTTCTAGCTCTCTCTCATTCCATATATCGAGTTTGCTCTTCCGTCCTATTTAGGAAATAAACCAAAATTATATAAAATATAATAATTAAAACTTCTAAAGATTAGTATGTGTGTATTGAGTTTGAATGGAAATCAAATTCTCAAAGCCACCTTCCAAACTGCCTTGTGTGTGGTTTTGTCGTTTCTTTCTCTATCTCCTTACTCTCTCTCTATCCTTCCATTTCCCTCTCTCTCTCTATCTACATATCTTTCTCTCTCTCTCTCTATAGATGTGTATATCTCTTGATGTACGTATATGTATGTTGGTTGTTTTCGTTTAAATTATTAAATACGTCTGGATTTTCTATATTTTTCATCTAATAATTTGATGTTTTGAGTGAATGCGCAAAAGAGGTAAAGGAATTTGCTTTATTCAATGTATATAAATAGATATTTAAATGAATTTAAATAAATATTTATACATATATATATATATACTATATAGTATAGTATAGATAGATAGATAGATAGATAGTTAGATTAGAGTTGAATGCAACCACTCATGCTTTCACACTGGGAGGTAAATGAATGCTTTCACGTGAACGTTGACGTGAGAATTAGCATATTTCGAATTTTTTAATTTTTCGACTTTACTATATGAACTGAATATGATAGAATATGAAAAAAAAAGAATATTCCCTTCTCTCTCTTCATATACCTGTCTCCCTCCCTCCCTCTCTGTCCAGCTTTTTTTTTTCATCATATTGATCTTCATCTTGAATTTCAGTTTAACTGAGAAAAAAACGTTCTGCTCATACAAGAAGTGCGAGAAGATGATTGACGTCAAGCTTTTCAGCAGAGCATTTCCCATTTTCAGATAGATGTGAACGTCCTTTTTGGACGATCAAAATGAAAATGAATCTGCTTTAATTCATTCTTTCATCTTGTTAACACATATCGTCTCTCTGTTTAATCAGCTTATAGTTGAAATACATCTGACGCACAACTCATGAGACGAAGCCATTAAGATGCCCTATAGGTAATGAAGCCCATCAGATTAGAATTGGATTATATCCACGTTCCATTTGAAGATTTCATTCACACAGACAAATTATCTATTGAAGTGTCAAAAAGGATATATGAGCTGTTGTTTTACGTGTAAGAATGAAGTAACTCAACTTATTCAAATGTCATATGGCCTAAGGCCTTGCTCACTGATCACCTTGTCCTCTCTCTATTATTCTCTCAAAAATCCTCTTTTTTTTCTCTTCTTGTTGCTTTTCCCTTCTAAACCTTCGTTTTTCTCGTTTTCTCTCTCATTTTATGACCCTCCTATTGCTCTGACAAAAAAAAAATGCAAAACATTCATGAACAATGCTGATGCATATACATATGCCTTTTAAGTAAATTTGGAAATAAAATTCGGTAAAAGAAGAAAAAAATTGTTGAAAAGCATATTGCTCTTACCCTCTCTCTCCTTCTCTTTCATTCTCTCTCTTATTGTCTCTTTTAGTCTCTCTCTCTCTCATCCTCTCTATCAGTATATCGCTATTCACACTCATCATCATATTGTTCATTATAGTTTTGTACGTTCTTCTTCTTCTTCCTTCGTCTTCTTCTTCTTCTTCCCCCTTCTGCTTCCTCTTCTTTTGTTTTCTATTCTAACGATGATAGATAGATAGATAGAAGAAGAAGAAAAAGGCGACGAAAAAGGAGATGATGTGAAAATTATTCGAACGATGTAAGTTCCACTTCCTTTATAAGGTTATAAGGTTATCCCGACATTTGGAAGCTTCAGCTTTACAAATGATGATCGTGTATGGAATAGTAGCTCCACCCACTTCTCATTCAAGTATCATTGTGATTGCGATGAAGAAACTGAAAGAGAATGAGAGAAAATTAGAAGAAAAAAAAAGTGAAGAATTGAGAGGATTAGAGATGAAAAGTGGATAACTATCTCCTTATATGGAAAAATCACTTTGAAGCTATTTCAATCTCCGTCAGCTGTCCAAGCTTACTCCCTCGCAATGTTTCAAAGAGACTTTTTTCAATAAATTCTTTATGATCACTCGTTATGGTAATTAAATATAATTGTGGTCAAGAATGAATTGTTCATCAGCTCACATCCTTTCATTTACTCTTTCAAACTTTCGATTTCTTTTTTTTACTTTCTTATATTCTCTCTCTCTCTCTTTCTAACTCCCTCTCTAGATAGTCTCTTTCTCACTTTGTGTTGTCGGATTGTCCACGTGCCTGGAAATCCTATCGGCTTCATATGGTATTTGAGCTTTTATATCAATTACATTAAGAATATTTCAATTTGTTTTATCGAAAATATATGCTCGCGACCAAAAGATAAATTATTGAAATCCCAACTATTTCTTTTTCAAACTGTCCGAATAATGATTGTCGGAGAACGAAATGAGTTTCAACAAGCTATATGCAAAGAGTATTCAGAGAGAGAGATATAGAGAGATAGAGAGAGAATGACAATTGTATGTAAGGTTAAGAGAGAGAGATAGATATAGAGAGAGAGTGGGTGCTGTTAACTTGAACTCTCCCTCTCTCTCTCTCTCTCTCTCTTCCGAGTTTCATAAGACCGGAAAAGGCTGCCTTTCACTTTTTTAATCAAAAAATGTTTGTAAAAGATGAATAATTTGTGAAATATTTTATTAAAATTGTTTTTTTTGTCTTTATTAATGACTAAAGAACACTCTTTTCTCGTTTTTTTTTGTAAAAACAGTCAGTGTACTTGGTTTTAATGGCTTTCTATCATCATTTTCTCCTTATTTGTCTCAGCTTTCCATTCATTTATTATATTTCAGGACAGTCTTTCAACTGCAAAAAACCCTTCAACACACTCATTCTCTTCCCCCTTCTCTCTCTCTCTCTATACGCATATCCATCTCTCTTTCTCTTTATTCTATAAGAGTAAGGATATAGAAAGAGAAATTGGTTTGGGGTCGATGGATTCAGAAGAATTCATTCCTTCACGAAGAAATGTAGACGATTTTGAGATTGTTTTCCTCTCCATCATGACGGCCGTTGCCGTTGTTTTGAATTTCATGTTGTTAACACAAATCCTCACAACATCAAGGTAAGTGAAGAAAATAATTTTCTTTTGTATTTGCATAAAATTCGCAAAAAAAAAATTGAGACAAGTAGATAGGGTTACATTGAGAGAGTTTTAGAGAAAGAGAGAATAAACGTGTACGATTGCACATTACCATACATAGCGGATGGAATAGTAATCGTTTCTTTTGTTAAACTTGTAGAATGCTATCTCTCTCTCTCTCCTTCTCACTCTCTCTCTGTACATCTTTTCAAGTAGCTGTTGTTTCTCGATAAAGAAGGAGAAAGAGAGAGAGAGTAAAAGAGTAGGGGGGGGGGGGGGAGGGAAAAGTTCACGGCTGTTGATATGCTTGGCCATCAATTTAGAAACCATCTTGTGAGAAGGTTAACTATCTCAAAACGATCTTTATGTCACAAAAATTTTTGTCTGTTTTTCATCAGCCATGAACTTTTGCAAATCAACATGAAGTTCGGATGAAATTATGAAAATTTTGCGAAAAAGGGTAAGCAGTCGAATGAAAGATGTTCTATAGGAAACGTGGGTTTACACTTAAAGCCCTTATTTTTCTCAGAACTTTACTTAACTTTTGAATCAACGACGGCAACTTCATAACATGATGAAAGGCTTTCTCCGAATATTGAAAAGACATACCAAAACAGCAACAACGTTACTCTGATTTTCTATAGCCGGGGAATGTAATTTTATATTTTTTCCTAAAATTCTATTTTTCCAGACAGCCTACAGTGCGTACAAGCTTCTCTACTGGACCATATCAATTGAACTCGTTTACGCTGTTCAAATTGAATCTATGTATCAGCGATTTTTTCATTCTATGCTTCTACTCATTAGGAAAGGCATGACTCATCCACAATTCGTCATTTAAACATTTGATTGCATTTCAGATAATTTGGCTCATTACTTATCAGTGGAGATTGGGTGATGTTGGATGTCGAATGTACCAATTCTTCTCAGCCTTTGGCTTCTATGCACATTCAAATATTATTGTAGCCATTGCCTTAGATCGTTTGAAAGTTGTTTACACAAGGCATTTACAAGGTATTAACCTTCTCTCTTACATTTTTTGAGCTATTTTGTTGCTGTGATCCATTTTCTTTTGACGTAGAACGTGTTGTAGGAGCAACATCAGTACGACGTGTACGCATGATGCTTTTCTGTTCATGGGCATTAGCCGCTCTATGTAGCATTCCACAAGCAATTCTTTGGACAAATGTTGAAATTAGGGATGGCTGGCATCAATGTGTTAATCTCCTATCTGAGGTTTGTTCTTTGTTTCAACGAAATCCATACGTTGATTTGTTCGTCAATGAAAAAGATGCGAGGGAGTTTGAGATATGAGTTCCGAGATAGAGAGAGAGAGGTATAGAGAGTCAGAGAATGGCAACAAGGGAGAACAGGAAATGAGGAAGAGCAGTTGACGTTCAAAGCCCAAATTTCGTTTTCTGCATCATCTTCGAAGAGAAAAGACATTTCAAACGTAAAATTGAGAAATATTTGTTGTCAAAGATAACATCTGAATATCCTAATATAGACAAGATGAAAAATGGAAATAGTCACATTTCAGTATGAGAATAACACAGAGATTGGCAATCGTAAACTGCTTGCCATCACTTATGAGGCATTTCATCAAGCAAACGTCTTCTGGATACCAGTACTCATAATAGGCATATGTTATATGCTAATTATATTCAAATTGATACATTACTCTATAAGGACAAAAGAAGCTGTACGGGTAGTACGTTCAAATGAGTTTGATCATCGGTAACATCAAGCATCATACAATACATACGTCAAATGATGTATTTCAGTGAAAATTCATCTTCTCAAGAAGTCATGCTGTCTCCATCAAAACAAATGAAAAAGAAGAATAAATGGCCTATCATCCATTCAATTGCTACTTCCTCATCTGATTTTGGAGATTTTAAAAAGTCCAACACATGCATTCATAGTCAAGGTATTATAGTTAATTCAATCATATAGTTAATTTTCATCCTTTACTACTTCTGCCCAATAAAACTCATTCAGTCATGTGTTTTGGAGAGAAGAAAATGAAATCTCTCCTACTTCATCCACATGTGTCAATAGACATAAATTTTTGATTAAAAGTCACAAACTATAAGTAAATTCGGTAAACATGACATTATGCACAAACCGTTTCTTTATCACATCTATCTCCCCTTCTAGTCAACTCCTCTCATTATACTTCTCTCTCTCTCTCTCTTCATCTAATTCCCAGAAGACTTCTTTCATTTCTTACTCAGAATGAACTCTTTCTGCTTCCGTGTTACCACAATGAATCATTAAGAGATCTCATCAGATTCGAATGTCTCCTTTATCTTCCTCTTTTGGTCTTAAAGTAATACTAATTTGTGGCTTCATTCAGGTCTCCAAAGATGTCGCAGTCTTCCTGCATGGCGACGACAACTACGTTCACGAGTCTTTCGAAGTGCCATGGCTGTTATAGCTGCTCATATAGCATTATGGCTGCCGTACAATGCTCTAGCAACTTTAAGGTTTGAATATTATGTTTGTTTTCGACAATTTAAAGAAAAGTCAATAGCTTCGAAGTACTCAACATGAAAAACATTTGAACCAAATATGTATGTCAGCTTGATTATAAACTTGCAGCTTGAGCAATATACATATACGCATATAAATAGAGAGAGAGAGAGATAGAAATAGGATAATGAGAGAGTCAGAAGGTTGACCAACCGATCTTTGCGTATAAATGAAATTAAATAAAATCATTTTCACTTAACCCACGTGATCTCCACGGGATATGTACGCATAGAAGATTAGCATAATAATTGAAAAAGCTAATTAGATGGATAACATGATCGAGATGTGTTGTGTTGTTCAATTTATTTCTAATTTTTTCTAATTTTTTTTATAATTTTATTTTATTTTTTCAGATTTATCGATGAGCATGCCTTATCTTCAATGTCCGATTATGGAGGCAATTTCTTGGAAGACTTGATTGTTGTAAATTCAGTTTTAAATCCAATACTATATGGATTTGAATTGCGAAAAGCGCGTTGAAGGATGAGAATGTGGAAAATGACATGAGAAGCAAGAAGAAGAATGATTACAAGGAAGAAATATTTTTTCATAATAGCTAACTATCACATCTACGAGGTAATTAAGTATAAAAGATCTCTGAACTAGACTCATACACATACAGATAGATAACACACAGACACACACACATCACATATCTTCTATTGTTTCCAATAATTATCCCAATTTATATATTTTATGATTTTAAATGAAATAAACGTACTTGTGATTGCCTAATTTGGACTGTCGTAGCTACACTGTTAACCAATTTATCATCTTTGCTTTGTGTACACGATAAGACTAATGATCCATTAACTGTACCACCATAGTAATATCTAAAATTCATTTTTATAATTATAAATTTCAATTTGATTATTTAAAAATTAAAAATTACTTTGCGTCTATGGATATTCTTGTTCGATCGAGTGGATCACCATCTTGAATGAATGCTGATATCTTGAATGGAGGCAATACTGTAAATTACAATATTCCAAAATATACTGTATAGTTTGCTTACCGTATTCTTCTACAGTAAACGATGTATCAAACGAATTGCTCTCACGGTCAGACTCAGGTCGAACATATATTCTCCATGTACCGAAGTACAGATGTTCAGGTAATTCAAACGAGGTTGCAGCATATGAGTCAGTTGCAGTGATTACTTTCCGGAACAACTCGTATTCATCCGGATTAACAAGGGTTACTTCAATTGGTCCATTATAAATAGTATTCGAATAAGTTAATGGCAAAATGCGAACGTCAACTTCAAATAATGAATCATTGTTATGAGGGAGGCAAACTCTCTCTCTTACTTTTCTCGCCGGCTCTATATATGGCCTTATCAGTATGAATATGGATAGTGGAGATATCCTGTTTGACAGGAATCGTTGCTTTGAACGTTTCATGTCTCTCTATAGCTATCCGTACCGTTAGAGAATCTATTGATAATCCGAGCGGAAATTTGATGGTCTGTGGAGCACCTAGAAGAACATATAAGGTTATTAGTTTACAACTTCATCAGTCTTACCAGATTGTTTGGCTTTGAGTTTTTGAGAGAATATGCTGTCGCGTAAAGATTCATTTGATTTGAAGACATAAAAATCGATATCAACTGACTGATTGGCATCAGAATCCTGAATGCACTGTTGTTCGAAAGAGTACAGCTCATTGGAAACTCACTTTGACAGGAGTTACCGTGATTGAATTAGTAGCATTCGCTCGGAAAAAGTAAGGTAAAATGACAAACGGTGAACTGAAAGTGATAGATATCAAGATGATAGTTAGAAATCAAGAGCGGATCAAACCTTTTGGTGGCAAGACAGAAGTCAAATGAAAGAATAAAGAGTAGAAGTAAAGAACCCGATGAGAATTGCATACTTTAGGTTGATTTGACGATCTTTCTAACTGTACATATCATTGAAAACAAAAAATCTGTAAGAAGGAGGAAGGAATTTGATATAACATAAGTACAAATTAGTAAGAGAGATTAAAAATAATTAAAATGCCTTTATCACAAGGATTAGGGGGGTTAGATCATCGCATCTGTACCTCAATTGAGGTAACACCTGTTGTGTCAGTTCATTTTCTGTTCAAATAAACTTTCGAAAAGCAAACTTTCGTTTAAAAAAATGACTGAATCTATATTTTGAAATTACATTTGAATTTCGAAAAAAGGCGCAGATGAACTGATGAAGAGAATGTCTGAATGTAAGGAAATACATACTCGCTTATAAGAGAAAGAGAGAGAGAGGATGGATAATGTTACGGAGCAAATTTCAAGAAAGATCATCTTCATCTTCTCTCCGACTCACTTGCCGTGAGGTGAAATCAAGAAGCAACAGATTGTCATTTCTTTGAAAGAAAATTTAAATTTCTCAGATCAAATGTAAGGAATGTTCTATTGCCAACGAGTTTACAATCGAATGTTTGTTTTCAACACAACAACAACAATAGAAATCAACAAGCACAATCACATCTTCTTCATCTTCATCTTCTAAGCATTACAATCAGAAGTTTTCTTTTTTCTTTCTTATTGTGAGAAATGCATGTGAAAGCAGAGCAACAATAACAAGGTGAAAGGTGAAAAATAGTATTACAGCTGAAAAACCCCCTTGAGGATCTTCAAATTTCAAATGTCCTTCTTGATCTTCATTTTTTTCAGTTTAGCTTTTCTATTTACATTCAAAGGATGAGATGAGAAACTTCAGATGAAAGTTGTGACTCACAGGCTCTTCTTCTTCACTTTTCAAAGAAAAGGTCGAATCTCTCAGATCATCCCTTATTCTTACTTTGAAACGATTGAAGATGAAGCTTGTAATGTCGCAATGACGAACGTGTACGGTAAAAAAATGATCTTCAAAAGGAAACTTGTTCAATATATGTTCTGCCAAGAAAATTTCTAACAAAACAAAGTTTAAAACAAAAATGAAGATAAGATGAGACGACCAGGTGAGACGAATGGTGACAACCAGAGAATATTGAAACGATAGCATGACAGAACGTCAATGCATAGACATTTATTGCGAACAACACATCATGTAACAAGTTGAATTCAGAATAAATTAGAGGAAATTATGGAAGATGACAATGATGAGAAAGAAAAAGAACGTTGTCATCCAAATTCGACAAGCACAATGATGAGAAAGAGATGAAAAAGAAAGATTAGATTGAAGGCAAGGAAGGAAGGGACAATTCGACATTGATATGATCAATCCGAACTTTCGCTCCTGCTGCACTTAGTAGCACATCATCGTTCACCTAACAGCTTAGGTTCTTGGATGATAATTAAACAAGCAGAAAAGTTTGAAACTCTTGTATAACATCTTCTTATGAGTGTGAGAATGGATTTTTCGACGTTTTTTTCTCTCATACAATAGATGACAACTATTTGGAACGGGTTGAATAGACAAGATCATGGTCAACATAGACTCCAATCGAACTAGACAACCAACCGTCTCGAATCTTAAATAGTAAGACAGAGAGAGAGCGGGAAGAAGGGATTGAGGGAGAAAATGAGAGAGACAAAAATAGATACAAGGGAAATATGGAAAAACAGAGAGGAAGAGTAAAAGAGAAACAGAGACGAGAGAGGAAATGCGCGAAAGTGAGGTTCAAAGCAGATGAAACAACCGTCCTCTGTGTGTTTATACAAAAAAATGAAGTTTACGTAAATTTCACGTGAATCACGTAAACTCTATCGTTTCACGTGATAAACTAAGATAATCTGAGATATGTCCACAGTTTATAAAATAATTTATTTCGCAAGCAGTTGTTCAGTGAAAAAAAAAAGTTTTTCAGTTAAAAACTTTGAAAAATGGTTCGTATTTGCTTTTTGAGATGGCGGTGCTGGTCAAGACATTGAGAGAAAGAGAAGCTTAGCTGAGAGATGTGGGAAAAGTGAGTGAATTCTCTTTTGCCAAAGTAGAAGGTGAGGTTTTGTCCTTTGAATCTCGCTGAGGTCGTCTCACAGGAACATATTGAATGACCTCCGCTTTTGTAAGACTAGGGGACGTGTTTTGTATCCAAAAAAAAATTTATTTCAAAAAACGTGGCCAATGGGTGAGAATAACATAAAAAACACATTTTCGAAGCTTCATTGAAGTTTCTTTTTGATTTCTCGTTCGACACGTTGGCGTTACAACGAAGTCAATTAAGTAAGATCATCGATGAATAGGTGAAATCGTTGCGATTTTGTGTTTGGCTGAAGGCCCGAGTGTGTTGCATTCAATCAACTCAATCAGGTTTGGAGGATTATAATGAATTTTGGGCCAAATGAACTAATCATAACGAAAAACTCTTTTTTTATTAAATAATAATTTTAGGAACGTCTCAGTCGATAATCTAACGCTAGCGTATCGAACAGAACTCTACAACGTTGGTTGAAAATCTGACGAAACTGTTGACGATGGCAGAATCCGGTGAATAGGCGACGAGCCTGTAAGGATCATATGATGATGACTTAACGCTTTTACTGAATTTATACCAAATCATAACAAGCTGGACATTTGATATCGTCCAAACAATATTTGAGGCACCGTTTTTGGAAAATGCATGGAAACGGATTATATTTCTGAACTTTCAATATTTAAGAAAAACGATTTTGCTTTTTTGCTCACATTTTCTTCAATGCACGTCTGAGCACATCCCTTGAACTCGGAACATTCAGAGTCTGAAAGCGTAAGAAGGTATTATCCGTTTTTGGAGAGCATATGGAGAGGATAAGAGGTACTTTCTTCCTACTTCATCTCTCTCAGATGAATGAGTCAGGAGTTGCCTCTCTCTCTTTTTCTCTCTCGTTGATATATAAAAGGAAACTACCTTCTTCTTTAAACTCTTCTATAAAAGCTTTGCTGCAAGAGCCACATGATTCGCAGTGCTGGAAACATTCATCACCCAATACACATGAGAAATCAGTTCGTTCAAACAGATCAGGGACGATCTAGAGGTAATTGGTTTGATAGGAAGTAGAATAGAGAGTAGCAAACAAAACCTTTGGCGGATGCAGAATCTGATAGTTAGACGAGTTCACACAATGGTTCAAGGCACAGACTACTAAATCGGTGCACTGATGACTGTGATGCTTAAGAAAGTTTAAACATCATCATGTTGTTACTCAGAAACTTACCACTATATAAAGAAAATACAAAATGAAGAAATAAGAAAACATTTGCTTGACCAGCTGATGGCCATACACCTGCATGGGATTATGGCGAAAAACTTTCTATAAAGCATTCATTTCGGTTTTTAATCCACAATTAGCGAGAATCTAATAGATGATTAGATGAGATATAAGCCAGTTTATACAGATAAGAGACAGGAGAGTAATCATCTCACAAGTACTTTTTTCTTTTTTTAATTTCATAGTTAAGTTGATTTTGTTTTTGCAACGTTCATACACGGAGAAACTAAGTCCCTTCTACCGCAACTCTTTGGTTTCTTGTTTGTCCCGTATGTGGGTGCGGTGTAGTACCAGAATGCAACTTGAAATGATTAGTTATGCAATAGGTTATGATGGAGCTGATTCGCTTTACGATGAGTAAGATTGAACCTCTTGACTTGAGTAATAACTGAGAAACTCTCTGGAATTGGAACTCAGAGAGATCACAGAAGTATCTGAAAGGAGAAGATGAAAACATAATAACAGGATCTTCTTTGGATTCAGTTCTCCTTTCGAAAAACCCTTCGGAACCTATAAATCCAATTGAAGCTTGAACAGTCACTGAAGCCATAGATATACTACCTATGTAAGACATTTTGTCATTTTGATTGATTTTACATAAACTTTGAAAAAGAAGATTGATGATAAGGTAATAGGACTTGCGTATAAGATTATCGAAATATGATCTTCATCCTCTCTCTCTCTCTCTAAGCATTTGCTCATTACTCACCTCTTCTCTTCATCATATCCACATCTCTGTCATCATCCGCTTACCTGTCTCTCCTTCTCTCTTCATATTTCAGTTTCTCTAATGAAAATGTTGAAACAAAATATTCAGAAATTATAACAAAGCTTTATCTTTCCAGCTTCATTCATGGCTTCATCTATCGAAATAGTGAAGAAGTCAACAACTTCTTTGCATCTTCTTGTCATCCTCATAAAAATGAAATATCTGTGTATGTCTCTCGTACATGTCCATGTATGAATGAGTGTGTATGTCTTGGTTACACATCCTTTTATGAATATATTTCACAAAAAGCTAATAATCTTTCAATAAAACATATCAATATTTGAACTTGCCTCTTCTCCCTCTATTCAGAATAACATTTATCATAACATTTCATTAAAAACTGTTAGTGTTTCGTCTTCATACGCACATTCTTCTTCCTCTTCATCTTTGTCATCCTTATTCCTTGCTTTCTTTCAATGCAACCGCTCTGCTCAAATGAAAAATGAAAAATGAACTCAAGTTGTGTCATTTTTCTGTTTCACGCCGCAGTTGACGTATGCAAATGAGTTTGTTGGCACATTCTATTTGGTTTTGGTTAGATATTCCAAGAAACATCTTCTTCAGCATCATTCATCTTCTATAATCAAATTTGCCATAAATAGCCATGTGAATAAACATTTGAATAAAAAGTTAAAAGTAACTAGTTCATTAGCTGATAACGGTTACATGTCTCTCTATTGATAAATATTTCTTTGTCCTCTCTCACTCTTCATTCACTATATGTCATCAATGTTTTTGTGTCTGTCAGTTCGTATGATCTCTTCAGTCTATACTATCTCTAGCTCTCTCTCTCTCTCTCTTTTTCTTTTTCCCTCTTATACATTCTCACTACTCTAAAGCTTATATCTATAAAACGATGGGCGTTATTGAATTTTTCACTTTCAATATCAACTAACGAATTTGTTTTTATTTCAATATGTTCTAGATGTTTATAAGTTTTTCTTCCATTTTTACACTTTCAATTCGAAATTAGAAGATGAGGAGCTCAATTGATGTTTTAAGAGCCACAATGATAACGTCATAATCCATGAAATCATAATGTGCTTCGGACGTGTACGTGGTTATTACCACTACTTGGATGATCGATTCACTGATTTTAGCATATATGTTGATGAGGTTAACTATATGGTATAACTTCCCTTACTAACTCAAGGTTTTAGAAAGTTAATGAGAGAACACTCTTAGATATTCCATTAGCATTTTGGCGTTGGTTCAAATTTCTTGTTTATGTACATTTTTGGATTGCAATCTTTCTATTCGTAAGTTATTCACAGCTTCTCATTGATTATGTTAATGATGTGAAACACATTTGAAGGTATACGGCGTGTTATGTTTTTGCCTTGGGGTTCAGTATTCATTCTACTATACGGAGGTGAACTGCGGCGATGGTCTCAACGTTTGGCCGCCCGCAATTAATTTGGTAAATTTTTTTTCAAGATTACTTATTTTAGAGAATGATCGTATATTCTTAAGTATTTCAATTCATTCAGATCGCTTCCGTATTTGGTATGGTCACGTTACGTACACTACATATCCGATGGTCAGCATTCATTCATTTGATATTATTAGTTACATCGCTACCATTTGTAATTGCAACTATCATCAGTTCTTCTCTGGCTGTTGAAAGGTTATATTTTCTCTCTCTTCTCATTCAGTTTCTTATGTTATATCTGAATCATCGTTCTGTTTTTGTCTTACAGATGGGAAAAACAGCCATTGATCACAGCTCCACCGGTACTGAGACCGCCAACAATCAATCCTTTGCCTACGTCATCATTTCCTGATGATTACATTGATGAAGGAACACATTACGCTAAAATTCCTCAATGGAAGAATGCCTTTATTGGCATTGACGGTGGACTAGCTTTACTTTCCGTTCTCAATCGTTGGTTATAAGCATTGAGACGCACGCTGACACTTAAGTCTTTCAGTGATTACAATCATAATTCTACTGGTATTTTATGGAGTATGGTGGGTTCGAAGAGCAAACACACCCGGTATGGATGCTTAAGATGAACTGTTTTTAATATTTCAATTGTCTATGTAATGTTATGAAATTTTTAAGAAACAAATTTATTGTGTTCTTAACAGAACTTTTTTTGGAAGTTTTTTTTGTTTGAGGAACTGTCGATGATCCATAACCATACAATAAGATGCTTAATAACCTGGAGCAGTTCTTGGGACTGGACAGTGGTCGCAGCTTCCCTTGCTTCCCTTGCTTCCTGGCTTTCCTGGGGCTCCGTCCTAGAATTTGATAATTAAATTATATGCTTTTGATTAATATATATACCTCTCCGTCTTTTCCTGGGCTTCCAGCTTGTCCTGGCTCTCCTGGTTGTCCCATATGTCCTGGACGTCCTGGTTTGCCTGGTCTTCCATCGAATCCATCGTGTCCAGGAGCTCCAGCCTCTCCTGGTGATCCGGCCTCTCCTTGTGGGGATGGAGCAAAGTGCTTCTGTAGTGAATTATCAGAATAGTATGATTTTCTCATAACTTACGAATCCTGGGGTTCCTGGGGCTCCGGCTTCTCCGTCTCCTCCAGCTGGTCCGGCAGTTCCTTGTGGTCCTGGTGGTCCGCTGTTTCCTGGCTTTCCGTGTCCTCCGAGAGGTCCTGGTCCTCCACGTGGTCCTGGTGGTCCGTGTGGTCCTGGTGGTCCTGAAACGCTCTTATTAACAACGGCCTTCCACGTTTTTTAGATGCCTGGTGGTCCAGCTGGGGCATCTGGACATTCGAAACAGAAGTCTTCTGGTCTTGGCTTGGCATTGTTGTCTTGGGCATCAGGTCCTGGGGCTCCTGCTTGTCCATTTTTACCGTCACGTCCTGGCTCTCCTTGGTCTCCTGGAGTTCCAGCTGGTCCTGGAGCTCCAACTCCACAAGAGCAACAGAGTTCAGCAGTGGATCTCTTCTCACGAGGGGTACGTGTAACAACAAGCTAAACAAGATTGTGTTAGGGAAACAATAAGCGGCTGTTTTACTTTGCGGAGCTCCTCACGCATGTTGGAAGTTCTAGAGCGACAGAAAGTCAACTCTTGTTGAACGTTGCTGTGAACTCCCTGAAGAAATGAATTATGAAAATTAATCAAGATTCCAATTACCTGGGTGTGCATGCAGAGCATGGGGATAGCAATGATGGCAACCAATGAAGCAATAGTGGAAACAGCGATTCCGAAGAAGGCGAATCTCTTTACTTGAGCAGCCTCATAAAGCTTCATATCCTTAGTATCAGGAGTCATCCTGAAGCAGTAATGTTAGCAAAAGTAACAAGTGTGTTAAATGAAAAATCTGTAAGACAGTTGAATGCTGACAATGGTCATGCCGATGTGATTCGAGACATTGTGTCAGTGGTTCCAGCTATTTATTCTGCCATCGGTGTGCCATACCTTCTAGGGCGGTCCTCGTACCAGCAGCATTCTGATCAAAAAAAAAGTTTTGGAAAACTTTGGTGAAAAATGCAAAACATGCTGTAACTGATCAAGTGAAAGATGGACAAACAAGGATTGAAACTTGACAACGATTGACGAACGATGATTCTCATTGTGGCAAAGCTGTAGTTACACAACAATTCCTTTGTAAGTGCAATCGTATGGAACAAGAGCAGAAAGGCTGAAATGCCTCCTTGGTATACGGAAATCCTATGCACCTTAACCAACCAATAATGAAAACCTTGACTATGTATGTGTTGTGTTCACTCAAACAAATTCAATATGGCCTCAACTTAGTACATCTGGACAATACTTCCGATTCATTGTTTTTTTTATTTTCATTGAAAACTATACAGATCAAGCGTTTTCGAAGAATCTGTTTCAGCTTCCCCAACGGTCACAAATCAAATTTTTTATTCAAAAGTATATTATCTTCATAATCTTGAGTACAATAAGGAATTTGCTGTCACACCCAATGGTTTTCGTTTTCTGCATTTTTTTGAAAACCAAAAGTTTTCTTAGAGCTCTTCTCACCTACTTCTCTCTCTTTCTTTCATTCTCTGCTTAAGAGAATGCTAAAAAATATTTTTTCTTATAAATTCCATTTGTCTAGAAGTATGACGGAGAGAAGAAGATCTTGTGTGAAACCATAATCGTTTTAATGCTGGATGATATCTCTCACTTGAGAGTAATAAATTGCTTTATGAAGGATATTTTGAAGAAGGACGAGAAGTGCTGTTGAAAAGATTGTTCTTCAAAAAAATTAGTCTAAAATCATGAACTGCTTTTTCAATTGGAAAATTTAGTGTTTCTCTCTTTCCTTCACGCTCTCTCTCTTTCTCAATCGCATCTTTATGTTTCTCTCGTAACTACTTTTTGCTTGCAGTAGTCACAGTCTCTTGGCTATCGTGCCGTACAAGAGGCATTCTCATTAACTCAAACAATGAAGTTTTTGTACCAAATTTGATGACATCAGTTAAATGATCGAATGCAAGATATCTTATTTTACAATTCAGATCATTGGCACTTCTCCGTTCGTTTTTTATGTTTCAAACATTTTCAAGTTACATCTTCTCATTTTCATTGAAATTTGGGTGCTGAAGAGAGAAAACACAACAGTTCTGTTTTCATACCCATTTCCAACTTTTAAAATGTCCAAGCAGAACTTCGAACATGCGTATCGAAATTTTAACAAAAAATTAACTAATTTACCCAAAAATTTGTTCCAAAACTAATTGGGTCGTCTTGATGTTTTAAGGAAGAATTGGGTCAGGCAGATAGAGAGAAAGATGTTCTCTTATAAGGTAATATCACGAGGGAAGCGAAGATGGGCGGATAGTGTCAGTAGGTCATCTGAAGGACGTCTGATTTTTCATATCGTCACAATCCATCCAGATGATAATATAGCTCTAGCTGAAGGATACATATTCTTCAGAATATTATTATATTTTTCTCATTTATTCATTCATTGGTCGTATTCGGTTGTTCTTTTAGTCTTCTTCAAAAAATTTTTCTTTCCATATCCTGTTTCTTGTGTTTTTACTTCAATTGCTAGCCGTTTCTCTATTTATTTCTTTTTTCAAAATTTTCACTTCGAGGTGTCTGATATGATAGTTCATTGGGATTCGCGCAAGAGTAAAAAACGATGCTTCTTCCCACTCCCTTTCTCTCTTTCTCTCTCTCCCTCTATCTCAAACCACTGTTTCCGGTTTCCAATTATTTTCACTGTTTTTTTTTTCGTTTTTCTCCGAGGAGTTTAGCAGATTTCTGCAAAATCGCTTCCGATTCAAACTCTGACGTGAATAACAGATTACACTACTTCTCTCATCAAATCTGAAAAGAAACACGTAAATTTCTAAAAATGGTTTTTCAGGATGGAGTCATCTCCACCAACAAAGCCGGCTCGCCGGTCTCTTCGACCAGTAGCTTTCGCTTCTGTTGCCTTGGCTACAGTATCTGTTCTATCCTGCGTGATCACACTTCCTCTTGTGTACAACCATGTGCAATCTATTCAAGCTTACATGAACAGTGAAGTCGAGTTCTGCAAGGTTTGTTGAAACTCAGAGTATGGTGTATTAACTGTTCCGTTTTTAGACTCGCTCAAGAGAAATGTGGAAAGAAATGATTATGGTTCAATCTGCTTCTGGAATACCCATCAAAACTAAGAGGGAAGCTGGCTATGGAGCTCAACCACTATCCGATAATCAACTCCCATCCAACCAAGCTGGTTCATGCTGTTCTTGCCAAGTTGGACCTCCAGGACCTCCAGGTCCTCCAGGAAGAGATGGTCGCCCAGGAGCTCCAGGACGTCCAGGAAATCCAGGACCACCAGGCCGTGACGGAACACTTTTACCTGGACCACCACCAAAACCACCTTGTCAAAAGTGCCCACCAGGACCACCAGGACCACCAGGACCACCAGGACCAAAGGGATTACCAGGACCTCAAGGAGAGCCAGGAACACCAGGACATGATGGAGTTCCAGGAATGTCAGGACCTCAAGGACCACCAGGACCCCAAGGACCACCAGGAGTACCAGGAGAGAAGGGACCTACTGGAGAACCCGGTAAAGTCATCAATGGAGCTCCACCAGGCCCTCCAGGACCACCAGGACCTCCAGGACCTCAAGGCAAGTTGAGAAATATGCTTTTGATGTAACGAAGTTTTTTCAGGACCTCCTGGCCCACCAGGAAAAGATGGACAACCCGGACGCTCAGGACCACCAGGACCTCCAGGAGATGCTGGAGAGAAGGGAGCTGATGGTCTTCCAGGACCTCATGGATCCCCTGGACCAAGAGGACCACCTGGACAGCCCGGATCATGCGATCATTGTCCTCCACCAAGAACAGGACCTGGATATACCAGACTTTAAACGTTTAGAAGAAATAAATAATTTATTACAAAGTCATGAACAAACAAGAATTAAAGAGTTGAGTTTGGTCTGGGGCGATTTCTTCTTTGGAATGAGATAAAGAGATCTTGAGCGAAAGTTGGCAAAGTAGCAAGAGGAATATAAAATAGGATTGTATCTAATCCAACCCAATATCTGAAAACCTTTTATTCAAATTTCCTTCTTCGTCATAACTTGCCTAGCTTTTGGGAAACGGGCTAAGAGTGCATGCTCGTAAGCGTTAATCACGGGATCCAAATCATCCGCGCAGTGGGAGAGTCGAGAGAAACGAGAATTTTTATCTTAACACCCTTCGTATACAGAACCGCTAACATATGAAACTTACAATCTTCAAAGAATTTGTCGCCGTACTCTGTCTTGGTTTCTGCATCGAGGCGCGCCCAAACCTGAAAAAAGGATTTGAAAATAAATGACCGAAACAAAAAGAGTTGTTCTAAATAAGGAAATAAGAGATGATAAGTATGGAAAGGAGTGTTCACCTTATCAAGATCATTAGTAGCTGTCTGTGTAATGTTGGTGGTGAAGAAGCCAGGTTCCAACAAATGCACGGAAACGCCAAAATCAACTAGTTCATGTCTATTCAATAGTTTTCATGAAAACCGATTAAGAAATTTCTTTAAACCTTATGACGTCAGCATAAGCTTCCACAGCATGTTTGGAAACACAATAAGGACCAACCGTTGGTCGAGGCGTTCGTCCAGAAATGGAAGATATTATTACCACTCTTCCTTTTTGAACTTTCACGTATTTTTTTAAATTTTGAGCGAATCGCATGACACCAAAGGTGTTGACAGACATGGCCTGAAATCAAGTGTTCTCTCTCAGTATTTCATCAATTTATTTTCGAAATAAAAAAAAGAATTGACATGTAAGACCCTCCACATGCACATGTTCTGATTTGGAAGCTTGTTACTTCAGAATGCGACCGACCATGTGCTTAGAGCGACAAAGAATGAATTGACGCATCGCCACTAATGTTTCACGCCAATTCACGTAGGCATTATGCAAATTTGAAAATATTCAAAAACTTACTTGAATATAATCGTTGACATTCAGCCAATCGTCTGGTCCAGAATTTCCTAAGATTCCAGCATTACATACGACTCCCCACAACCCTTCAAAGAATATTATTTGAATTGAAAAATAAAGCTTAAGCTTCTTACCCTTGTTTCCAACAATTTTTCCAACATTCTCAGCAAATATCTTTGTGCTTTCATCATTACTAACATCCAATGGTAAAGTATGAAGTATTTTGCTGTTGTTTGTTTTCTTCTTTAACTCTTCTTCACCCTAAAAGGATCAAGAAGATCAGTACATTCTTGTCTTGTTTCAATAATACTTTGTTTGAATAACATCCAGCGATTACAGGAACGCCTATGCTTATTAAGCGTATGGCAAGTAGTTGTCCAAACCCTGTATCACATCCCGATATGGCGACCGTTCGGCTTGATGTCTTTGATAATCGAAGAGATAAAATGAATTTGTAAGCTAAAATGAATTGTTCACTGCTCATTGCTATCATCATATTGAATAATAATTGAATTGAAGAAGATCATAAAGGGACCGTACCTGCAACTGCTATAAGCAGAGTTATGATAATGGCAGTCAATGAAAAAACCATCTTAGATTTTCACACATTTCTTATCAAACCCTTCACCTTATAAAGCCATTTTATCATAGGCTTATGTAACTTTTATGATTTCTGTGTTGGACGAGTACTTGGGATCTCTTATCAAATCACCAAAAAAGGTAATTAATTAGTAAATAAACATTTAATAATAGAAAATTTTATTTGATGATTATCGAAATGAATACTCAAACCTTGTTTCTTGTTGTTATACATATTGGTTGGAAGAGGAAGATGAACAAAAAAAAGGAAAAACGAAAGACAAGGCATAAGTCAAACGGATGACTCTGAAAAGGGGATTGCATATGATGAATGACGGAATGTTACTGATTGAATAAAGGAACTAAAAAAACATATTTTATTATAATTTTTCTTGTTTTGAAGCTTTATGTACATATAAGCTAAGAACTTTCAGCCCCATAGAACACTAGGTATCATTTGTAGATTTGAAAATTAAGTTTTGCGTGTTTAACGAAGAGAGAGAGAGAGAGAGGGAGACTGAGAGTGAAAGATCATACACATTGCCTCAGCCCTCACATTTAGCTCAAGTTTATGTTAACGTTGATTGGAGTAGAAGATCATTCTCTTAAATGGATTTTGAAAAATCACAAGGCTTTCACGTTATTTTTAGTTGCATTTAGTTCATTTTCTTTCTTTCTCTTTCTCTTCTTTTTTCCAAAGAAATCCCATTTAATACAACAAAAATGAAAATTCTTCGATAGTTTACATCTTTCTCTTTTCAATTCTCAAAGTTCAATTAAACGTGTTTGCTCAAACATCATCTATGATTCCATAAGAAGTTTATTTATTTTTCATTCCTTTTTTGTCCACCAGTTATCCAAGCTTTTTGATGTTGATTATAATAAAGCTGATGTTTCCTTCTATTCTCAGCTTTTCATTCTCTTCCTCCTTCTCCTTCTCCTACTTCTTCTCTCTCTCTCTCCCTCTTCACCTTCTGTTCCTCACATCATCTACCCTCTACCTTCTCATCCGATGTTTTTTTATACCAAATTATGAAAATTGAAACAACTATTCTCTTATAATCTATTTTTGATTTCTTCCTGGCTCTCCTCGTCACTTCCACCCCCATCCCTCCTTCTCCCTCTCTCTCTTCTCCCCATCCACCCTCCCTCCATCTCCTTCCCTCCTTTTTTCAAGAACCAAAAATGAATGAAAAAATAACTTTGTTAAGCATCTGAACCATTCTCCATTTTTTCTTCTTCTTCTCCTGGTTCATCTTATGATGTTGCCTCAGGGCATATATGTGAATATCCAAGCATAGAGTGAGCATTGTGAGAAGAACTCAAACTTGATTCATTCAACACATAAAAAGAGAAGAAGGAAAAGCCGATGAAAAAGCAGAAGCAGAAGTAGTTTAAGAAGACTAAGAAGATGAAGCCGAGTAACTTTGAGGCACAAATTTGATTGCAACAGGGCGACACCCACAGACAGCTTCATCTCAAGCACCTTCATAGATGAGCGGAGAGCTCTCCATTTTCAGAATTACCATCTTATAAGAATCTGTCTTTTTTCTATTTCTTCCTCACTCTCCATCCCTCATTTCTCTCTGAAGGTGTCAATCTCTCTCTCTCTCTTTCTCTGTTAACAGCTCTCTCTCTCTCTCTCAGATAATTTCAGGCAACAAGTTCAAGAATCTAAGCAAATTACAATAAATAATTGATGAATTTTGAAACAAAAAAGAGTTGCTTTGATATCCATCCAAACAGATTTTGCTTTGTTTGATTATTCAAACTTTCTTTTTTCCATTCAAGCATGAATATCATCCGTTTTCGAGAAATCTTTCAGTAAAAAAAAAGCAGAAGAAGAAGAAGAGACGTAGAAGCTGAAGAAGTAGAAGTAAGAATGAGAAGAAATAATATAAATAATAATAATAATTCGAATATATATAGAGACAGACAGACATATGCTAATTACATTTCTAACTATACATAGGCATAGTTAGAAAAGAAAGATTTAAGGTCGGAAATTGATTCCAAATTGTATTTGCAACAGATGATGATGCCCTTGTTCATCCTCAAACACACATACTTATAGATGTATGTTCATCCTTTACTATACTACTAATGTTACATACATTTATATATTAATTTTACTCTTTTAATTTTACTTTTTATTCATCTCAATCTCTACTCCACTTTCATTAGAACTCTTTAAGATTTCTAAATATAACTAATCATTTGAGCATTTTGCTCATTCATCTGTCGAGATATCGTGGGAATGGGCAACGGAATGAATAGCTTATTATGAACATATATATGGACTAAAAGTAACATTTCTTGTTGTAAAAATTTTAATATTTTATTCTTTTTCCTTCTTCCATCACATGCTCCTTCATTCATTCACGCTCATGCAATTTGCATCTTCTTCTACTTCACGTGAATTTCACGTAAAATAGAGAGTTTGAAAGAGAGTGAGAGTGAGATATACACACACGTAAAGCACGTGGAATAGATAGATATGCATATTGGCTGTCATTGTACACAAACAATCATTTTGCATTTTTTTAATTTCGCAGAACGGTCGCATTACTTCTGTTTCAATGTTTCAACTTCATCTTCCTCTTCTTCTGCTCCATCTTCTGCCTCTTTCAATTTCTTCATTTTAAACTTTTCATTTTCATTTATGTCTTCTTGCAATTTTTGTTTTTTTTTCTCTTCTGTGTCAGTTTCATCAAGGTTTCTTGGTCAAAATTCAGAAGCGAAACTTATGATGTCGTCTTTCGGCACGAAGAGATCATTCGACGGGGACATCATGAATTAAAAGTGGAATATTTTGAATTTTCAAGCCAAATTCGTATGAAATCTTTTCTCACTCACTGATAGACTACTTACCAATGTTTCCAATCGCACCTTCTTTGAGATGTTAAGCAATGGAAATCATAATCATTGAAAACAGAGACGACAATCGACAAATCACCAAACTCAACTGCATTTCGGTTGTGAATTTTCAGTTTCGAAACGTCGATAGTAATTAATATTTTGCGTTTATTCACATAGAACTTTGATGATAAATTAATTTCTCAAGAAAATTCCTTAGACATTCCTTTTTTGGTCTTCTTTTGCTGCTTAACTCTTTACTCAGAAATCAGATGATGATGAAGTCATGCGTATACGTTAGTTACGCGTTGCCATGTGATTGCCTTGAACTTCTCGACTAAGAAGAAGCTTCATCTCTCTCTCTCTCTCTTTACTCGCTTTTTCTTCTTTTCTTCCATATTTTAAGCTCAAATCTGATTAACCGATAAGCTTTGTTTACATCTGACGATATATGCCCTCTGGCGCTGTTTAGTAGAATGTTGTTCTTTCTGTTATTTCAGGACAATCAAATGTTTAGCTAGGCTGGAGCTTTTTTTAATTCAAAGCCGAAAGCCACTAAGATTATTGAACAGAGGTTATTTCTTCCTTCTTTGAGCCTTCAATTCCTTGTTATATTCTCAGATTTCATATCCTCCGAACATGGCTGATCAATTTCCTCTTTGTTGGTTAAGAAAGTATAAAAATGTTTTTCATCACGTATTTCCATGTCTGAACTCTGTTGTTCAAGACGAAAAAAGCTTGTTGCTCATCGATGTTTGAAGACAAATCCTATTTGACCTTACCTCTCTTCATATTTTTGGAATCACAGCTAATGACTTTCTTAACATGTCTGAACAACGAGTTTAACGAAATCGAGATATGTGAGAGCTTTGAACAATCTGTTGAAAGCTTTTTCAATACTTTGCTTCTTCTACTCCTCCTCCTTCTAGCTTCTTCGTCTTCTTCTACTTCTGCTTGGTCGTCCTTATTCTTCCCTCTCTCTCTCTCTCTCTCTATCTCTCTCTCTCCCTCTTCTTCCTTTAAAGCTTTCCTTCAATCTACGCCATCGTTCATCCGTATGTCCATTGCAGAAAATAGTGTAAGTCAAGACGATATTTGCTTAAATTTCATCAGCATCTCATAGATATGTGATAAAAGATGAATGACTTTCGTTATTTCCTTTTTCGTTTTACCCATCCAACCATATACGGTCATTAGTCATTAAATCTGACCAGCAATTTGTCTTTAAGAATCATCAACAACATTATATTTTCTTGTTGGCTTCTATCGTCCCTTGAGGAGGAAATTACTCTTTCTTTCATCATTTCTCGCTTTTGATGTTCAATCCGCAAGGTATAACCAGTTAACAATTCTTTTTGGTTTTTTGATTTCTTCCTCAATTTTCTATCACTTCTTGCTCTCTTTCAACCTTTAAGACCATTCGAATTGATGAAAGCCAACTAATTTCTTGGTAGAATGGCCTGCAAGACATAGAACTTGCCGACGTCAAACATTTCCAATCTTTCGCTTCTTCATTATATTTCCACCAACAATTTCTAAGAAACACACTTTATTCTTCAATCTTATAAAAATCGTATAAAAAAGGCGACCAGAATAGTCTCCCTCTCTCTCTCTCTCTATCTCTCTCTCCCTCTTTTTCTCTCTCTATCTCTCCCTCTCTTTGTATCCTTAGTTAAGTCTTTCTCTTTCTTCTTCTCTCTCTCTTTCAAAAACTCAACATAAAATACTTGAAAAATTATTTTTTTCCTCAAAATACTTACACTTACATACGAAGAAGCATAATACTACACACAAGCTCCACTTAGATGAAGTCCGTGAATTGTTGAGGCTGTGTTGGAAGATAAAAAAAAGTTTTTTTTACGTTTTTTTCTTAGAGCAAGAAAAAAATTTAAGTTGAAGGAATGAAAGGAGAAGAGGAAATTCCAATTTCGAGCATTAAAGTACGGCGGCACAAGTCTAAGAATGAAAAAGCGGTTACTGACTGATTGGAGACTTGTGTTCACAGCTTATTGACTTGATAAGTGTCAATAAGCTTGGTGAATGAGAGAAAAAAAAAGATTTTAGTTGATTATGAAGATCAAAAATAGTTTTTTTTTCTTGGTTGCTTTGAATGAATGTAATTTCCTTTATGCAAAACAATCTGTTCATCTTTTCCTTTAAATGAAGTGAAAATTCTTCTGCTCCTCCCTCATTGCTTTCATATCTACACAAGGCAATAGCTGACATCGAGGATTTATTCTATTTAATCACTTGATATTCATACTCTTGTTCTTTCTCTACCTCTCTCTCTTAGTCTCCCTCTATTTCTCTTCATGTGAAATCTGTTCTCGTTTCAAGCAGTTCCAACCTAGATTACTAATGCAATATGAGAACGTGGTAGATGTAAGCTTTCAACTATCTCTCATGAATATCTTTGTACTCATAAACGATTTTTCATTTCTCATACTCTTTATTTAACACAAATTAATTATGAAACTTATTTTTCTCCATTTTCATCACAACAGCAGCTTTTGTGAAATTAGCATAAAATCTTCTCACGTGCGCGTTGTTCACGTGAACATAGGTATATACCTTTCCCTCCACGTCGTCTCATATTGAGTTGTGCCAGGACGTGGAGCGGTTGTTTATGACTATCATCCTATTTCACTTAATTTTCATAATTGTTATCAATTGAATTTTCAAAATATTTTTTTAACCACTTATCCTATAGACAATTGATTTTTAGAAAATAAAATAGAAAAAAGCTTTTTGAAATTAATTCTAATTCACTATGTACTCTTTTCTATTTAAACGTTAAGAAGCTTCTTGACTTGTCATCTTCATTTAATTTTCTATTTTATTTAAGCGAAACGAGCAGAAAAAAAGGTACTAAATCTTTCGTCTGAATGTTCTGAATGTTGCTTTATTCGGAGAATATTAAATTATAAGCTTTTTCTTCTGCTTTTTCGATTTCAAGCTTCACCTCTTGTTAGGGGGAGGAAGATGTTTCATGTTTAGTCCTTGAAGTATTATGTATATGAATTAAATTTTGGCAAGAAAAAAATATAGACTTCTCTCTTTGACGGTTCAATGCAGTTCCATCGGCCATCGTTCTCAATGCCTCTCATTCTCTTGCTGCCTTCTCTCGCTCCTGAAGATGGCTTGGCGGCTTCTTTCGAAACATCTCCAATCGTATTTAAAATCTATTTGGTGTGAGCTTTAAAGAGAAAAAAAAACTTTCAAAAGCCAGGAGTTCCCCGAGGGACAAAGGAAGTATCAATTCCGGCTTCAGAATTCACATATTTCACTACAAGTCATTTATTCAGATATTTATTTTCCCAAAAGATATTTTGTCATCTTTTTCTCTCTCTTTCTCTCTCAATTTCTTTGTCTCTCTATGTTGAGCTCTCTCTGTCTCTATATGGTCAGTTCGTCATTTATCTTTTATCATCCTGCTTACTTCAAATCAGAATTTACTTCTCCTCCACAGCCATTAATTACTTGAATTCCAATCATTCGTCCCAATTCGTCTTTTCTCACTTTTTTTTTGGAAGCGGAAATTTCATTTTCGAACAGAAAATACTTAAAGTTTCTTCTTCTCTTCTTTTTTGTTAACTTATTCTCTTTTTGTTGTAAAATCTCCATACACATTTTCTAACAAAATTTCATTGCAAAGTGCATGGCGAACCAAATCATTTTGGTGAAGCTTTTTCTATTTAATCCAGACACACGCACACATACACACACACACACACATAAAATGGATGATTATGGAGGGAAAAGGAAGACAAAGACGATTTTTATATTCTCACATTGCTTATTTCCGTCTTTTACCTTTTTGTTTTCAACATTAACTCGTTATGTGGAAGAGATAAGCATTTACGTTTAGTTCGATCTCTTCCCACATGTGGAATACATCGGATCATGAGCTGAGTACAGACATCGCTGGCCGTATAGCTGCTGTCGAAGCTGAAGATCAATTACTTCAACCAGAATGGTGGTAAGATGCATACCTTCTATATTATCATCAATCATATATCATCTACTAAGGTATTTAACTCTATCCATAGTTCCCTTAGTATGTATAGCCGGGAACTGTATGGTTGTTGGAGCTGTCTTCACCACTCGCAGCTTGCAAACACCCACAAATCATTTATTAGTGCGTTTTATTTCATCCTCCCTTACTGAGAATATTTCATCATTACTACTTGATAGCTGATATTGCCTTTTAAGGTCTCCCTAGCGATGGCTGATCTGATCGTTGGAGCATTTGTTATGCCATTTAGTATTTATCTTTCAGTTAGTTTAATAGTTAAATATGAATTTTTGATTTGAAATTTCAGATCAACGGGTTACACTGGCACTTACCTCTCTCTGTTTGTTATTTTTATTGTGTGCTTGACGTAGCCGCCAGTACTTCTTCAATAATTCATCTTGTTTTAATCAGCATTGACAGGTTATTTCATTCGATTGTTTCCAGATTAATCATTTTCACCTCGTTTTTCAATATTCACACAGAAAACGAGAGCTGAGCAGGGGAGAGAGAGAGTGAGAAGGAAGTAAAAAGAGAGTTAGGGAAAAGTGCCCATGAAGTAAACGAGAGATCTTAGGGAGAGAGATAGATAGAGCCCAAGTACCGAATCTCTTATGAAGCTAATCAGATATGAATCGCTGGCCATTCTCATATCTTCTTATATTCAAAGATATTCCCTCGGCTTCAATTTTCTCATGTCGTCGTTCTCCCTCTCTTCCTGCCTCCTTCTTTCTCCGTTTCATTCAACTATCTCGGCAGGGACTAAAACATAAAATGATTAGAATGTGTTCAAGATTGAAAATGAAAAAAAGAAAATTAAGATGTATTGTTACAGGCTTGTCGCTGCTACAAAGCCCGCAGAATACAAAACGATGAAACATAAGAAACGTGTATATTTAGCAATAGCTGTTACATGGGTTTTCAGCATTGGGCTATCCTTACCCTTAGGTGATTCGAGAATATGGAATGCTTAGTATCCATAAATGCAGTTGCAGGCACAGGATTCAATACGAGAACAAAACATTTTCTCTACACAGAACATCATTGTGGAATTTATAGTCCAATTTATATGTTGTCCAGTAGCATTTTTGCTTTCTACTTACCTTGTGTCACAATGTTATTCACTTATGGTTATATATTTTATACATTACGGAAACGTCTTCGAGCTATTCAACTACAGGCATATCAGCAAACCCATCTTGTCTCAATCATTTGTATCATTCAGGAAATGGCTGGTGGACAGTTTCTTGGTTTTGGTGCTGATGTGGGTAACATCACTACTTCAGCCATTCAATCAGTCATTGGTTTCTTATTCTTTTAAATTTCTTTTTTTCATCTATTTTCTCAAAGGTATTGCTCCGAAGAACCGAAATATGATTTCATGGGAAAAGCCATTGTTGAAGAAAATTGAAGAAACAGCTGCAGAGCATGCTAGTTCATTGAATGACAGTGAAAGGGAGCAGGTATCCGAAAACACTCATTGGTCTTAGTATGAACCTTTAAACTCTTTAGTTACAAACTATATTGGAAGCAGTACATCCATCATCTTCTGGGAGTCAAGAGAATAGTACAATGAATATAGAAGAAGATATGGATAGGTTTATACGAACATGAGAACAATTCAATTTATAAAAATAACTTTCAGTTGCCGACCTCCATCAGTTCTGCTGGAAGCAGTCACATTGCGATGTGAAATTGATACGAGTGGACCACAATTGGAAATTCCTAAACCAGCTTATGCGAAGAAGTATTCGAAAGAAAGAATGATTGTTTATGTTTGTTCGGCTATTACAGTATGTCTCGAAGGTTCTCGGATGCTGTACAATCGCTATCGTCGAACAATCGAAATAAAACGGTTTCTTTCGCAGGACCTTCAAAGCGTCGTCACTCGCACAGTCCTATAAGTATGGCGGAAGAGGAGCAAAAACAGAACAGCCTGCGACCACCCTTGGTAGGACTTATCTCACAATACTTTTCCAGCTCAGTCGAAAAAAGGAAAATACGTGTGTGTGTGTGTGTTTGCGTGTGTATACGTGTGTGTTCTAATAGAAAGGAAAAATTAGTTTTATTGGAGGATTTCTTCAGAATCCATGCAAATCTTAGAGCGTAACGCGTCGCATGATAACTTAGATTAGCCAAATAAGGAATTCATATTATACTATTTATATAAATCTTATTTTTCTTACAAGCGGCGATGTTGTTTTTGAGAGGAAGAAATAGAACGAACGTTAATTGCTCAAAACCTATGATGAAGGAAGCAGTAGGGAATTGCTGTCAGCATCACCTGTGTTTTCTAATATCTCCTCACATTTGGTCCTAATTCTACAGAATTTTTAGAGAGCTTCTCGATCTTTATCAACTGCGTCAGCTGTTTTAATAGGAAAATGTGTTCATGAAGAGCATTGTCCAGGACATAGAAAAGAAAAGGTTTTCAGCTGCCTTTTTTATCCCTCAGAACTGCATGATCATCATTACGAACGAGCAAAAGCATGACCTGATCAATGGAATTGCTTCTGCCAATGCTTATGTTCTACAGTTCTGTTCATATGTCCTTATACTGATTAACAAATATATATCCTACATGTGATCGTCAATTGAGTTGAAAATTAAACCCTTAGAGATCGTTCATCCGTCCAAGAAGTAGACTTCATATACTATTTTAAGAATGGAGAAACGTTCGACTGTTTTTCGGTTTGTTATTCATAGAAGTTTGTGAACAGTTGCCTCGATCTAGCATGTGTATCCTCGTTATCATATTTATAATAGTCGATCGAGTAATCTGATACGTGTAACTAACGAAACCTTAGCATGACGATATGATTTTCAATTTGTTGTCATTCTCCACTCATCTCATACGTGTGAACAACATGTATGACGCCACGTCACTCACGTGAACCACGTAACAGCTCGGAATTTTCACGGGGGGACAACATTTAAACTCAAATCATTCTCAGCGTTGGCATTCGTCCAGACCGGTTGCAACATTTACTTTCGGTTAACCATTACTATGGAAGAGTGCACGTTATGACAACAAATTGAAAATGTAACAAGTTGAAACCGCCTGTTATCATACAACACTGTTGTTGTACATTCAATGGTTATGAAATAAAATCATTTTCATTTTCAGGCTGAAAGGAGGAAAATGAGAAGATTATCAGAAATGATTTCTGATTGGGAGCGTCCGTCCAGAACCTCATTATCCAATATGTATTCTTATGCCCGTCGTGAAAGTGTATATATAGCCAGAAAGAAACTTGCTGGTCTCAAGGTAATATATTTCTGAATTGAGAACCAATCAAGGGACACAAATATATTGTAGGACTGGGCTTTAGATTTGTTAGCGAAATTGAAATCAAAACAAGGTATGGCTATTCGTCGTGAAACACGAGCAACCAAACTTGTGGCAACTGTTATGGGTAAATGAACACCTCATGTCAAAGAACTGTTTCTGAACAAAATATTTGTTTAAGTGGTGTTCCTCGTTTGTTGGCTACCGTTCTTTTCATTGAACATGTTCAAAATATACAAACTGATCTATGATGGATGGTCATCGGATATGGAAAAGCTATTCCATTGGTTCACAGCTCTTGGATATCTTAATTCTTCATTGAACTTCTTCATCTATTCAACTATTAATCCTGTAAGCACAAGTTTCTAAAACAACTGTATTCATGTCTTATCCAGAAATTTCGTCATTCATTCCGCCGTCTACTTGGTTTCCGAAAATCAAGAAGAAGGAAAGAAAAATCTTGGATGAACCCGCCGAAAGAGAGCAGCAGGTAATTACATTAAACTGGAATCGGCGAGCCATTTCCTTGTCAGGGGTCCGGTCAAATGTGGATGTGGGCTGAACAAGATAGTCAAAGGACCGCTTCGACGAGCTTCATCAGCATTGTAAGTTTGAAATATAATTTTGAGAAAATTCCTATGAAAGCACGTGTGAAAAAATATGAAATTCTAACTATAAATTGAAATAATTAAATGAACTTGTAGCTGGGATAGTTCGGATGATGAAAATTATAAGGAAAGGTATGAAAGTAGACTGTTTTTCTGTGTATTTCCTCCTATTCTCATAGTTGAACGAGTAAAATATCTTAGCTAACATAGTTTATTTCGTTTAGTGTAGAGTAATAGCATAACTTATATGAATTATAGACCATTAGCTAATCGCAAACAGTCCGTGCCTAAACCGGAGATAATCATTGACGAAATATCTCCGAATCGAATATCAATCTCGGCTGGTGGTAACACTACATTTAGGTTATTTTGAAAATGAAATATGCAATTTAAACAACATATAAAAACTATTTCAGAAGATCTTCAGATGACTGCATTCGCCGCTCGTCGTCAGAAATCATTGGTGGAATTGTCCTACCTTCTCAGAGCAGTAATGACAAGCGACGGTATGTTTCGTACTGATAAATGGTGATGGGTCGGGTCATAAGTTGGAAACGAGCTAACTAGAACAGATCAGAGTCTGTTAGCGTTTGTCGTACTCCTTAGGAGGCGAGCCGAGCCATGTGTTGGAGATGAGTCAATCATGATATCACAAAATCTCCATCCTTCTGTATCTCAGAGAACCGAGATACGGCATTGAAATTCGATTGGGTATTATTTTTTGGAGAGTCTGGATTCTGAGATCATCCAGTTTAATCCAAATCGAAAAAAATCAGTTTTTTTGCTATTATTTTTTCTTTCGCTGGATTCGGCTCTCCAACTTCTTACAGTTGATTAGGAGACGATATTATGAACAGCCTAACACGCTGTGCTAAAAGTGCCTGGTAACATTGGCACTGCAAAAGTTTCTTTGTTCTCACGCACTTGATCATACATAGTTGAACACTAATCGTTCAATGAGTTCAATATTTGCTTCCATTTGCAGAAAATAATTAAATAAAATGTTTTTCAGTAGCTCCGGAATGTCGAACAGTTCAGCTTCTCTTCAAATACATGAAACACGTATGACATTTGAAGCTATGGTACACGATCAGGTGGATGTTGAGATATTTGTTTAAAATAGAGGAATTAGTTTTTTTTTTTGCTCATCAAAAAAGAAAACCAGACGCAAGCCAGTGATGATTGTGGATAAAACTGTATTTGTGCTAGAATAACTCTCTTCTCTGTCCGTCTCTAATGAGTATGATGATCTGAAGAGAAATGGTTGATGAACATCATCAGTCATCCATTTCTTTCGGATGTTTCACAAACATTCATATTTATATCTAATGTTATGCTAATTATACATGTATATCTGTTTAGTGGACGCCGATGTTTCAGTTACAGCGTAAGTTGCCAATAGCCTTCTAGAGAGCTTTCTTTTAGCTTTTCGAACGAAACACCCACTTGTATAATCTTTTGGTTGAAAGAAAAGAGAAACAGAAATTTATTTTCATTTCCATCATCTTCTTTTTTTTTTGTTCAAAATTTAGTTTGTAGAGAAGATTTCATTAACGCCTTGACTGACAAGATTGACGTTCATAGATGCTTCGTTTCTATTTTTTTTAAAGAAAATATTTTTTTTCTATTCGATTTATCGTTCTGTTCATTGATTTTTCTGATTGGAAAGCATGTTTGAAGTATGTTTAGCATGGGTTTTGATGCAAACTATGATTTGAACTTTGTTTTGTTTGTTTCTGCTTTCATCGTTTTATTTTAGCCAACTTCCCGTCTTTCCCTCCTGACGATCAAACAGCCGAAAGTCCTTTGTAGACGAAAACATTCACCTGTGAATCTCTGAAACTTCTCATCTCATTACTGTATCTCATTCTTTTCTTTATAAGTCAATTATAATAATTGTTACTTAACATCTCTCACGGGTATGTAAACATTGTATTTTCAAATAGTTTTTTTTAATTTTCTAAATAAATTTGAATATTACTACTATTATGATGATGATATGATGTGCACTTTACAAAGTAGCAATAAGAGTGCAGAGATGAGATATAAGCTGCTGCTCTAGTTAATGACGACTGTGATTGGGCAATAACACTTGTTGGTGCTAGACCACGATATTCGTTCTAATATTTCCCGCTCAAAGTAGTACTTGTCTCATAATGTGACCCTCAAATATATTTACCATGAGATTTGCAGCTGAGGGTGCATTTAGTAACATAAAGCCTATTTCGTTTCTCATCACTTTTCGAAAATTAGAATAAACGACGTGGACAGCGCACGTGGCATGTGCGAGCTATGAACATGTTTCATTGATTGTTCCAAGCAGACGTAGATCGGTTGAAAGAAAGGTTTAATTCCTGAGATCAGGTAAGAAGAAAATTATAAAAATCACAAAAATCACAAACAAATTAAAAGCTCTCACAAGAAGTTAACTTAATATTTTAAATTTAAAATAATTGTAAAATTAAAATTGGACATATGGTCATGAACATCGTTGATGGAGAGAAGTTCGTCTTGGATTTCAGCTCAAGTTCATGCATAAGCGTTTGTCCTTCTGCTATGTCATGGCTAATCTGTTCATAAGATTTCTAAGGAAATAGATATTTGAAGTTGATGCTGATTATGAGATTACCTCGAGCATTTTACTTATTCGAGCAATTTTATCTTCGTTTCCCTCCAATGCTTTGTTAATGGTTTCAGTCATATTCCGTTGTACAATAGGCACCCAGGCTACCTTAGGTGGGAAATCTGAATAAACTGTATTGATGATATGAAATGGATATGAATATTACTTTCTGAATCATTTTCATAACTTTCATTGGCAACAACAAGTGAACAAGTTGTTAACAGCAACAACATGTAATATTTCATATTTCTGAAAATGCTTTGATCGAGTTAAGGATCGAGAATGAGATGGATGAGAGTCACGTACGGAACAACCATCAAACACATTACCAAACAATAATTAATTTCTATTTTAGGTTTGGTGTACAGCAAAAAATGAAAAAAGAAAACAATTTTGTGAATCCCAAGATAACAACACTTCGTATGTCTGTGCTCTGATGGAGTTAAGAATCGATTATGAGACTGATGAGAGCCTGATTCATGTACGAAACAACCATCAAACACATTTCCAAACGATAATAAATATTTATTCTGGAGTTGGTCGGTAAAGAAAAAAGAAAAGAAAAAGAAAATATTTTTTTAAAACTTAAGATAACATCATGTATTATTTCATATTTCTGTGCTCTGATGGAGTTTAGAATCGACTATGAAACTGATGAGAGCCTGATTCATGTACGGAACAACCATCAAGCAGATTACCAAACGATAATTAATATGAATTTCGGTGGTAATTGTATGCAGAAAAATAATTTAAAAAAAAGAAAATATTGCCTGATTCATGTACGGAAGAACCATGAAACAGAAGAGGAAAAAAGAATAGTTAATGCTAGATTTTTTGTAAAGAAGAAGAAATCATTTGGTAAAATCTGAGATGATGACCTGAGACAGACAATCGTGACAATGTTGTCATTGAAGCCTTCGATAAGATGTAAAGGCAAGTTACTCATGTTTCATAAAAATGCTCTCTGCGGAGCTGGGGGGAAAACTAAGAAGATTTTTTTAGACAATTATTTGAAAGAACAGGAAAACTTTGAGAAGAATTCAGATGAGAACGCCCATCTGACTCTTCTGATGAGATGAAAAATGCTGTCTTCATCGTTGAAGTTTTGGTCGTCGTCGTCAAAAAATTCCGGCTGTAAATTGAATTGGAAAGGCTAACTTTGGCAAGAAAAAGAGGATAAGGGTCAACGACAGAAAGATGGAGAGGAAGAAGAGATTGAGAGATAGAGAGAGTCCGAAGCTTTTCACCCACAACTTCTTCCGTCCATCAGACTGACAACAGATTCGTAATATTTTAAGTTGCCTGGGGGGTATTGGTGTGAGAAAAAGGGCAAAAGACTACCGAGCAATGGTTTTCATGTGGTGAAGTAGGAGAGAAATATGAAGAAGATGAAAGTAGATGGATAGAGAGAGTGAGAAGGAGAGCATAAAAGATTGAGAAAGTGCATTTGAGCATCCACTTATGCATTTAGTGCTTAAACCAAGTCATTCTACATAGCCTCTGGCTAGATTACGAGTTGTAATAATGAATGAAATCTTCAGTGGCCATTTGATGAACGAAATAAACGAAAATCCAAAAAAATGTCAAAAATTTCTTCATCTGACACAACTTATATTTCTCGAACGTTTTATAACATTCTGAGCTGTTGGAATGACAAAAAACCAAAGAATGAAACGAAAATCTTTTCTTCCCATTGGCTTTTGTTTATCTGCAGCACAACAGAATTATTATCAAAAAAGGAGCAAATCTGTCAAAATAAACAAATGACAACATCAGGCAAATGAGGTTCGTGCTTTGAAGAGAGGGAGAACGATTGAGAGGGTGAAAACAATAAGTTTCTTCAGCTTCTTAGTTCGTCCTATGCAAGCGTCGATAAATAATGAAGTTCTTGAGTCAGTGACGTTGGGATTCTTTTTTTTCTTCTTTACTACAGACTATCGAGAAAGACACGGCAAGAGTGAGAGGTCGATGTAGAATTTATAAAAGATATACAGAATATTTGAGATTAGCTTTTCAGTAGGTCATCTGGCTTAGTTAGAAACAACATCTGCTGCTCCATAGCGCCTTATAGGGCGTATATGGCTGGCATACTGCTTTAAATCATAAAGTCTACTACAAATTCTCTTTTTTCTTGTCACTTCACGAATATGCAAATGAAGTATTCAAATTTGATCCAGCACGTTGTTTGAACGTGAGTGCGTGACGCGTCATTGTTTTTCAAATTCTAATTTTTGAAATTCAAGACGAGCGAGCGGTTGCATCTGGATCAGGTCAGATTTGATGCTCTTACTACATAGACATACGATGAAGTTTTCATTTTTTGAAATCGCATGTTCGCGCTAAAGTACGAGTGAAGCTTCTCAGTGCTTCTGTGTGAATCGCAACATACTACTTAACTTCTATAAAATAAATAGAAGAACGTTCTTGTATGGAATTAAGTATATTGAAGGCCATAAACACTTGACATGATGCGCGAGCTTGGCAAAGTGGCAACTCGGCTATTGTCGAAAGTCAAAATTGGCATAGTTGATTGGGCGTAGTAAGATAAATGAGTATTATCTCTCTTCCGTTCCCAGCAAATTACCTCCATTTTGGGAATTATACCCCGGATGAAGTGCACTATTAATAAGTTTCAAAGGGATTTAGTTGAGATGATGAGAATTATTGAAAAATGAAGAAAAATGTTGAAAATGATGTTCAAAACTGTCATTCATAGGAGGAGGGGGATGAAGATGAACAGTTGGAGGATGTCAATCTCAAAATGAAAAGGACATTTTACAAAATCATAAACGACTAATCACGCAATGAAATAACTATAAAAAAGGATATTTTTCCAATTCCTTTTCTCTCAGGAAATTCACGGAAGTATAGTGAGAGGCAATGCGATGAACGAAATTTCCAAAATAAAATTTTACAGAAGAAAGATATGAGGACGAGCCGTTTGCGTTCAATGACTTGCTGAAGAGGATTGAAACTGTGAATGAAGAAAATTGTCTTAAATTAATTTAATTTTATAACAAAAGAGAGAATCTTTCATTTAGAGCGAGCGGCAATGAATTAGCAAAAGCCGCATGGACCACCAAAGCCGAATTCGGTCTCTCACGGCCTCACTCGCCATTATATGCCATCCATACATCATCATGTGCGTTCGTTCCATCGACAATTGATTGTGTCAGAATGAATTTTTAAAATCAAACAGACTGATTGGCATGTGACAATGGTACAATCCATATAAACAACCTCTTGTGGATGGAGAAACAATTTTAAATTATCAAATGCATATTTTCCTCAAATAATCGAATTCTACAATTCTCATTTGGAAATGAAATTAATTTGGTTAAAAGTAAGGAGCATTTGCTTCATCTAACTCAATTATAAGATTGTATCTGAGAGACTACGATTGTCGTCGATGGCAATGGACTTCTAGAACGTACACAAAGCACACAAACACAGATTGAGAAGTTGGAAGTTGACGATCATCAAATCTCATATTTCAATGAGAGAGGGGAAAAGTTTTTTTTCGTTTTAAAGAAGACAGAACGGCTTCAAATTACAACGTAATTACGTGGTTTGTAAGAAAAGGAACTCAGAAGAAGGCTTCAAAATCGCTCAAGCATACAGCCGGAACACAGAACAGACCCAGGGAAGGATTGGAGGATAATTAGTATTTCAAGCCTCATAAGATGTTCTCAACAAGTAAAGTGGTCTCAAATCGTCTTCTTTATAAACTATAACAGGGGCATCTTATGAATAATATTATTTCGTTAACACAACACAATGAAAGACCGACGAACAGTCTCGAGCAAACAATACGATTCGAGGATTAATGGCAATCATCAGAATAGTTCCGGAAGAGAGAAACTATAAAATCTGCTAATATCGTCGTTTCTCTGTCTCATAGCGTTTGAGCCATCTTTTGGCATAAACACAGAAGCGAATCAAAAGAGCCGAATGGGCTTAAATAGCCAAAAATGGATTAAGATGCATTTGAATGCACCTCGCGGATTTGTGTCTATTATGAATCCGCATTAACTCATTTCTTATATCCGATCATATCCTCCTTCTCTTTCTTCTGCGAACCCTTTTATAATTCTTTTCATCAAATGCGAAGACTGTGAAATGAGAGACCTTCAGTCCATCCCTGGATGCGTGAAGTTGCTTCTTCCGATAAAAGTTGATCAACTCAAATTGGAATGTTAAAAGGAAAACAACTATCCCAATTTTCAAAGTTCGACCCGGAAACTAGGTTGTACCCAAACTTTCTCTTTTCATCCCCTTTACCTAGTGTCTGACTCTCTGTCGTTGTCGTAGTGTTTCTTAGATATCTTCAATGTCATGAATTCTTCTGAATTCTCTCATCAAACGTTCTCTCATTTGCAGGAACACACGGAATATCTGGTGCGAACGAAGGACATATTGATTTTATACTTTTAGTATTTTTCTTTTAAAAACGGTATTTTTATTTTTGTGTTAAGAGGATAAGCAAATTAGTTTCAGATGTTCCAACTACTAGACATAATGGGTGATGTGTTCTCCGTACTTCGTGAATCTTTCAATTCGATTTTGGAAAACCAAATTGAGCTCAGCCGTCGCTATTACAATACCGAACTGGAATCATTTTGACGGAACATTTTTTCAAGAAAGAAACATTAATCATAAATAGTTCTTAATTACACGATGCTTTCCTTATCTCATGAATAAATCATTCATAAAAAAATATTCGCAGTCAGCAGGATTCGAACCTACGCGGGCAGAGCCCAATTGATTTCTAGTCAATCTCCTTAACCACTCGGACATGACTGCTACACCAATACAAAATTTAAAACCGTATATGAATCTGAGACGAAAGTTTGATGAAAAATGAGAAAAAGAAGATGAGAACTTAGAGTAAGTAAGAAGTACAAGTCCGTTGAGGAACTCTATCATGTCCAAATACATTTTTTTTTCGGAAGACATCAGTTATGGTTGTTATGTTCAAGCGATAGGGTAAAACAGGGTCAAATTTTAAGATTAATTCGTCAACCAGCACAAAAATTGTTTGAAGTTGTTATTATCATTTTGAATTCTTTAACGAACGCCTCGCAAAATATTTCTTGGAAGTTTTGAACGAGAAAGAAGCTTCGGTCGAAAAAGGGAAGATAACTCAATTTCATAACGTTGTATGGAATTCGTTGGAAGAACAGATTTCTAAGAAGAGTTGTAAAAAGATTTTCGTTTTTTTCAAAAAAATCCTTAATAGCTATCTGTGGTTGCATCGATTAGAAAGGTTTGTTAATGTATATTTCCTCTTATTTCCATATTCGAACGTTAAAAGCCAATAATCTGGTGAGTTTGAAGTTCATTAGTCTTTCATGCAGTCGTTTGCAGAAGTAAGAAGAGAAACTGAAAGAAAATTATTTTTTTTTTGGTTTTGTGGTTGATCTTCCAGCTCATTGCCTCAGCTACAACATAAAGTATTGTGCCCTTTCAGCCTTTCAGAATGTGGCAGGAGATAAAAGCTTCCGCATAACAGAAGACCTCTTCCTCTCCTTCTCTATGAAGGCTCAACGGTACTTCAACATGTTAAACAAAGTAAGCAAGTTCAAGGTAAACTATCTCTTATTCGAAAAACAACAATTAGGAAGTGATTGATAATCGGATGTTTTTCCTTTTCGTTCGAATCCGTACCACTTGTTACAATCTCTAATTACAGAGTGAATATCGTGTTTTAGCATAATTTAATCAAATTCCAGATTGTCTCGATATCATCCAATGGACTTCCAAACTTTTTTTTGTTCCTCTCACTATCTTAAGATAGAAAGAGCTGAGTCAGAACATCTTTTATTCATCACTCGCAACATCATAAGCGTTGAGCTTTCGCCTTGTTCCAATATCTGTTCTTATCTCGCATCCATACGTGGGGGCATCCACAGCTATTGAGAATACGATACTATTATCTTTTGAACTCTTAAAATAATTGAAAAAGAACATCAAAGACTAAGAATGTTTTTTTTTCTAAATTGCCTTTTCTTTCCAATTTCCTCCTTCTCAAAATGTTTTTTTATCACTCGCAAAACGTTCTGTTCAGCTCAAACTTCTATGAGAAGTTAAGTCCTTTTCCAATTTTCTTTTTCTTCTTTCCCGAATATTTCACAAAAATAAATTATTTTCAAACGCTCATTTCTCTTGTTTCCATCTGAACTTCGTACTTCAAATCACTTTACGTAACGTGACGTGCCACGTAGCTGTTCACGTGCTGCTCACTGAGTTTTCCATTAGTGCACTACTCCTCATTTCAATTTCATACTGTCAGATTGAACGGTTGTCTCTTTCTCTCTCATTCAACTCTCCTTAATCCATGATTTCTTATAGTTTTTTTTAATATTATTCATGACAGACATGATTTATGCTAGAAGACGTTAATATTAGCAAAACGACGTCTTTTATAATCCGATTTTACAAACAGAGTCCACATTTCAGTTCAAAACTTTGTTTAAAAATGAATAATTTAGTGAAAAAGTAGGAAAAATGAAATTTTTTGAAGAAAAAGAAAAGGATGGAATGAATGAGTTGTATCTATTTGTTTAATTGAAAGGATAACAATTGCTTACTTTTTTTTTTCTTTTTCATATAAAATGTCGTTTTCATTCTCTTACAACCTTCAAACTCCTAGCTTCTAATCATTCCATTATCAACATCGTTTACAGACGTTCATTCTTATTTACGTTCTGATCAATCTTTAAACTGATCTGGCTGTTGCAACTAAACACAACAAAATGAGCAACGAAGGGGCGGATCCTATCGGAAGTCTGCCACGAGAAGCTGCCCTCAGGGTACTTTCGAAGTTGTCATTGGAAGATCGAACCAGGTTTGTTTTGTTTTACTAATTGATTATGATACTCTCAATCAATCACATACCCTATGAAACACTATGGTTGAAAGATCCGGCATGTTTCCATTCCAATTATCCATTTCGTTTTTTTTTGTTTTTTTGAACTTCCTGTAGCATTTCCTTCAATTATTTGAATTTGTTTAGTTTTTATAAATTCTGTTCGTACGTAGTTCTAAGTTCTTGGCAATGTTTTGCCCACCATCCATGAATATTTTCGGACGTCCAAGTTGTCGCATCACAAGCAGAGGCTGGTACACATCTTTTGCTAAGGATGAGACAACACATCAGCTTTTTGTTCTCATTTTTTGGTTTTGTTCTGTATTGAGTTTATATATTATCTCATTTTGTACACGTGTTCCGTTCAAGAAAAGCGGAAAGGATTTGCGTTCCGTCTGCCCTCCTTTCGATTAGTGATGTTTACCCCTCAGGGTATTACTGAACCAAGCCATTCATTTACTCATATGAGGAGATAGAGCAAAAAAAGTAAAATAAGAAATTTAATTGTATAAAAAATTATGTTCAGCCTTTTAAGCCAAATTAGCATTCGTTCGTCATTTTGTAGAAACGACTGGTCGATAGGGTAATAGACAAGCTTAAAGCTTTCCAGTATGGTCCATCTGGCCGGAAACCATTTCCGTCTCTCTTTTTTTTGAATTGAGTCTAGATGAGTTCGGTTCTTCAGAAAGTCTTGAAGACTATCATATGCTGGAATGTTTCCTTTTTCGTCCGAAACATATCTTTCTCCTGTTTCTTTTCTTTTTTTCCTCCTTATTTGTTCAAACAATTACCTTCCTTCTCCTATTCCATTGAGAAGCATCTATGACGCTTTCAATTTCTTTTTTCACATTTCTAACATTTTGTGTGTCATGAGAGGCAGACGTTATTGTCTGCCTCAAACATTTTCGTTGGTCATTTGCCCTAATTGGCCTCACATTCTGGTGAATCAACATATCTTGTTCCACGAGAATATCTGCTCTCAAAATGTGTTTGAAAATATTTTGAGAGAATCTTTCTCGTTTCAGTTAGAGTAGCAGGATGTGCTCGATTATTATTTTCATTATCGTTTTCTATTCATTCACTCTTACTTTCCCCTTACTTTAAGTTTTTGAGAGATTTAGTGAGGAGTCAAATGATATATGACAACAAGTTCTCACAAGACATCTTTTTGACCAGAAAGTTGACACATAAATTGGTTGACTTGAAGATGCCCGATGAAAAGCTGTAATGTTTGGACATAATATGAAAATCTGTCAAGTCATTATTACAAAATGATATTACACATGCAGATTGTATGTATATATGTGAGTATGTGTGTGTGTGTGTGTGTGTGTGAGTGTGTGTGTGTGTGTATGTGTGTGTGTGTCTGTGTATGTGTCTGTGGATGTCAGAGTGTGTTAGGGTTGGGGCGAACTGGCCAGTACTAACACATCCGCAGACACACTGCATGGCCGTTTTGTGGGCAAGCAGAGCACGAAATACAATGAAAGTTCAGAGAGAACAGAATGAATGAGTTTAGAGAGAAACAGATTTTGTTTAAGAAATAGAGACTACAAGAGCAAGAGGGAAATAGACACTCGTTTGAGCCCAAAGAAACGGACCACTGCCCCAGGGCACTAGTAGCCTGTGTCTGCTGAAGACAAGAAGAAGAGAGAATAGGAGAAGAAGACATTTCAGAATGTTCAAGCATTAAAAGAGAGAGAGAGAGAAAAAGAGAGTGGTGAGGAGAGAGATTTTTCATTCGTTTTTACTAGTGTCTGCAGCTGTGCCATAGTGAAGGGAGGCCAGTTGGAAGACGAAGCAGAGCTGAAGAAGAAAAAAGATGAAAAGAACAATATTAGACCATGTGCTTTAACTTCAGAAGGCAGTCTTAAATAAAATATTTAAACTTATGTTGTTTTATTCGCTTGTACACGATTCTGCTAATTACTAGAACTTATAGTGTGAGTGAGTAGGAAGTGACAATGATGTATTGAGAGGGAGGCAGTAAGAGTAGGAGAAAAAAAGAACTTAAAAATGGAAATTCTGGATCCTACTTGACAATTCGTAGCGTTCAAGTTCTCTTCAAGTTTTTCCACTCTTAGATAAGGACATGCATGCTCACACAGAGCTTTTGCCACTCGCAAACTAAGAGAACTTTAAGTAAATGAGGACGAAATAAGAATTTTAATTGAACTTTTCATAACATAAGCTTAATCATCTTAAACTTTGTGCAAGTTCTCTGTTCTCTCTCTCGCATTTCACCCATTGACTTCACCTCCTCCATTACTTCATCTCTTCTTCATAGCTCATAAGCTTCTATCACCTTCGTTTTATATGCAATTGCGAACAGAACACATGATTGTTTAAGAAGATTTTGTGTGAGAAACAGCATTTCACTCAAAAGATATGCTTAACTATGCTTATTTCCTTTGAAGTCGTGTAGACTTTCTTCTGCTTCACCTCTGTCTCATTCAATTTCCGATCGCATTAATATGTTCAAACCTTACTATGTTCCTGCCTCTCTTTCTCTTCTAGATGTTTGAGTTCCCAATTTGCTCTAATTCAATGTTTTCTTTTTCTTTTCCTATTCAAAACTATTTAAAGAACAACCTAGTTCAACATACTATCACATAGTAATTGAACTTTGCAAACTCAATTCAACTTCACAGCAAATCTAATGATTCGTCTTGCAAACAGTATTACAAACTTCAAATCCACGTTTTTCCATTATTTTTTTTTATTTTGAAAATGTCTTCTGAGGGCTCATACATACTCTCTTCCGCATTTCTCATTTATTGTTTCCATAATAGTATAACAGAAGCTATTATATTACTTTATCTCTCATTTTCTTCAGCTTCAGCCTTTTGGGAATAGTTTTCATTCTCTTAAAAAGATATTTCCTGTTTGAAAGACAATATACTCTATCCTTATATAGTATATATTTATAGTTTGCATTTATTTATTATAATTTTATGCGAGATCATAAAAAGGTTCCTTGTATGCACTTACCTTACCTTTCATGCTGATAGAATGCCTTCCACAACCGCTCTCTGCATATGCAATTCAGTAAATGAACTCTGCCGCGTCACGTATACCTCACGTGAACGTCTTCTGGAATATGCCAGTTTTGCAGAATTGTGCCTAGCTCAAACAATCGCTCTTGAAATATGTTTTTGGTTTATCTATCTGAATCTATGAATCATATTTACCAATACTTTTTTTTTCTTCGCCCTAATCTAAAGATCTTTCCATAAGCCAAAGAAATAGGCGTGGGTCTCAGCTGTTTCATAAGGAAAGCCTGATCCCACCCTCTTCTTCTTTTTTTCTCTTACTCCCTCTCCCTCGTTCGTTTTCTGTCTTCTCTTTCTCTTTATCCGTGAGCTTCCACTTCCAATAGGATCTCAGGATCCAGCTGTGCTCATACTCAAATCTCAAAACTGTTTTTTCTTATAAACCCGTAACTTAATAACTATGTCTATTTATATATATTTTTTCTTGTCATAGTTTATAACAAGTTGCATTTGCAGAGTTGAGAGAGTTAATCGCACGTGGAGAGAACTAGCAATGGAAGCTTCACGTCAGGAAACGAAGCCTGTCTGGATTTACATAATATTCCGCAAAAATCATTGCTCAGGTAAGGTAGTATATCTAACTGCTGATGTAAACTTGAAAGTCTGTTTGTTAGAGTCTATGAACCTTCAGAATCATGTTTTGTTGTTCTCAAATAAGAATTATTAATCTTCCCCCTGAGGTATAATGTGAAGCCTGTTGTCATCATCATGACAAATTGAGACAACAAAATGCTCACTTAAGCTAACGAAAATCATAATTTGAAGTATTTGCTAGTTCATTGGGGTTGTGTGTGAGTGTTATGATAACACATAGTGTCCTTTGACAACTTCCTGATCGCAATGCTCCCAACGGATAGTTTGTTATGAGTAACTGACTTAGAATACAAACATATCATACGTCATATGAATAGCCATTTCACACTTCATCCTAATTCATTCTCATTTCAGGACATGAAAAAATGACAGTCAATATCAGCTTTGATGGACCAATTTTCTGGAATCGTCAAGTGGCTTACATTTATTGCTGTTCCTGCCATTTTGATGAGCATGAGGTTCATTTAATTTAATAGAAATTGACAAAGATTTCTTTGCTAAACAAATGTAATATACAAAAAGAGAAAATAATGAGATTACTGCTGAAAATGGCTCCATTGAGCTTCAATTTGGAAACATTCACTCTAATGTTTCTCTCTATCTCTTCTCTCCATTCGAAAAGGTAGTTAAGAAGAGAGAGCTGGTGCAAGTTCTTTCTTTGAACTTACAACTATAATTCAATCTCAACTTTTCATTTGGAGAGACAACAAACTGAAAAAGGGGGGCCTGAGACATAGAAGCTGACCAGCTCCTTTCTTTTCTCCTCAATACTAAGGGCAAATGCTTTTCATTTGTTTAGTATACAATTCCGGAATGTGTCCATCGTCTACTTCTGCTGGTTAGAAAATATTTCTGAGAAGCCACTACTATATAGCATAAATCGCCTTTCTTTCTCACTTCCAAGGTTTTTTTTTCTTCCTTCTCTCATTTGGAAGTAAACGAAGGGACAAACGGAGACAGAAAATCCTTTTTTATTCCTCATTTCTTATTTTGGGTCGCGAAAGGAAAACACATTTTTTGAGCTTATTCAAAGACTTTTCGATGAAGAACTCACAGCGACAGTAGAAGTATCAATCTTTGGGGTTCTGCTATGTCTGGAAAGCAATGAAGCCGTCTCTCCTTTTGTTTTAAAAGAAATAACATTTCCTGAAAGGTTTTGGCCAACTCGCAGAAAAAAACACTTTTTGACGAAAACTGTTGTTCTGGCTTCGCCTCCATAACATCAGATCATCCTATAAAAGGATATTGCCTTTGGCTGATATGAAAATAGGAGAAAGCTTCAAACTTTTTTGTAGCTGAAATGGAGAGAGGAGGAGGAGGACATTGATTTAACAATGTCAATTGAAAGTTTCTAATAATAAACTCGGGGCAAATCTAAAATTTATTGCCTTGTAAGAGATCATTTCAACAGCAAAAAGAGAGTATTACTGAAAAATTTAGAGATTTTCACTTGAAAATTGCTTCTGTCACTCTCTTTAACTGACCAAAGTATATTCCCAAGTGTATCTAAGCTTAAGCTTCCACTCTTTTTCAAAAAGCCCACATCTTGTTTTTGTTCTTTTTGATACTCGTTCTCGATATGAGATCAAAAGAATACATCAAACCATATCATAGCTATAAAGAGGAAGAGAAGGGGAAAAAAGAAGAAAAACGAGAGACAGCTGAAGGCGGAATGTGAGAAAGCTGAAAGCTCCCGATGGTTCCTACTGTTGACAACTCTCTCGAGATTATCCGTAAAACGAAGGTCATTTCCTCCTCCAAAAAGAGTGAAGGCGTAGATTTGCTATTTCGATAAATGATGACTTGAGAGCAAAAAGCGTAACGAATAGCCTTTTTGGGGATTTCTGTGTCATCTTCTTGCATCCATTGACAGTTCAATACACTCTTCATTCATCAAGTGAAATATGGAATAACTTGACTCATTCCGTAGGGACATTCACGTGAAGCAAACGATAATTCTTCCTAAAAGCATGCTTCTGAATGAAAACCAACCAACGAAACTCTTCCGCCATCATTCTAAAATACAAAAAGTTGGAACAGATTTTAACATTTCCAGACACTTCATGTCAGTTCCCATTTGAATTTCATAAGGAAAAACGGACTTAAGTTCATAAAAATTAAATGATACCCAAGGGAATGGGTAATTTATACGTTTAAAGTTAAAATTCACTCAAAAAAAGAAATAAAGTTGGTTGTTTCAAAAAACATGTTGCAATTTCAGGGACCTCTAATGTCGATTCTTCATAAGTTTGAGCAAAGAGTTGAAAGAGTTTGTTTGGTTGATAAGCCAGTGGACTATCCATTCTTACCTGATTCGCTGTTCAGCTATATGGCTAAGTGTATGCCAAAGTTACAGGTAAGCACATCTTATGAGATGCACTGTTTCATTCATTCATCCATGTCTTCAGTTCATCTACTTGCGCGAACTCGATTTGGAAAAGATCAATAGAGCTACAGTTGTAGAATTGGCTAATCATAAACATTTGAAAAAGGTTGGTTGACTAATGCTAATTTCAATTGTTTTCTACAAAATCTAATATTCATCTTATGGATGTGATTTGCATAATCACGTCAGCATTAGCATAACTTCTCCCACGTCATTAGCATAGAAACGATTCTCATTCCGACGTCGGGGGAACGTCAAAGCACTTTATTTCAAAAAAACAACGCTCAAAGCATCTCGCATTCAACCATTTCAATAATTTCATTTTATTTGTTTTTAATTTTGTATTTTTAAAGGTTATTGTTCATGGATGCCGCAATTACGAGGTTCTACAAGATTTCCGAAACTTGCCTCAGCTGTTGGTAGTTCGAGGAGAGATCGTCGGTTTAAAGGTAAGAACTTTCATCAAACTCATATATCTTCCTTGAACTTTTTTCAAACTCATTTTTCGGAGTATTGTTTTGAAGGAGAGAAGGAACTAAGAGAGAGAGAGAAAGAGAGAGATACCTTGTTTATTCAAGGCTAATGAAAGATAGAATTCTATGGAAAAACAAGTATATTTCGTGAAAGTTGTTGTATTTAATTAAATTTCCTTAAAAACTGAATGAGTTATCTGAAGGAGATGAAGAAGAAGTGAAGCACACACACACACACACAGACACACATCCGTACATCCATACATGTTCCAGGCAATGATTGGCGATTTCGAGGAGTATCCTCATTCTGATGGTGGAGGCTCACAAGGTTTATCATCAGAGTCAAGTGAAACAACCAGTGAATTGGATGAAGCACCAGTCGTTGAAGTTGCTACTGGACCATGAAGATGCCGTTACTTTCATAATTTATTATTATTTTTCATCTTGAATCTATCTATAGCCGTGACATTACAATTCAATTTTAAAGCAGAATGGCAGACCACTTTCGATTCTCATATACAGTCTCCTTGTTCTCTTAATGCTATGGAAGAGGGGTGTAGAAGCTTAATTCTCATTCAAATTCATTTGTTATCTATTTGAGCATTGGTTTTATTGTCTTTTAGAAAACCGAAAATAGAATCTTTCCTGCATACACATACTCATAATCTACTCACACACACATGTGGGCAAGCGACTGCTTTTCTTCAGAAGCAAGGAAAACCATTAGAATCTATCTGTGGGTTTCCTTGTTCGATTTGTCTCACAAGAAAAGAATTTTTCCCATTTTTGAGGCAAAAAAAGAAAAAAAGACAATTGCTTCCATTCATTATTAGAATTAACTGTATCTCATAATGTAATTCCGTTTTCTCTTCTTCTTCTCCTTCTTCTTCATCATCAGCATCATCTTCTTCCTCTTCTTCTTCTTCTTAGCCTCTTCTTCCTCATCCATCTATTTGCGTTTTGAGAAAAATCAGCCGAAACCGTTTTTTTTGTCCATCTTACCGTTCAACTAATATTATGTGTATATAACTTCATTATATTCTCTCAAATCTCAATAATAACCCAAAATCAACAGAAATTCGTTGTGTCAGCGTCGTCATCGTCGTCATCGTCGCCGTCGATCCAGCTAGAACGAAACGAAAAAAAAAGAAAAAAGAAATTCGTTGACGAGTATAATCCAAATTTTTCTCATCAATCCATTGGATATTTTGGAGAGATTATATATAAGCTTCAGCATATAATGAAGTTGCATCATCTAGCATTTTATGAATTATTATTGTAAATATTGTAAGATTCAGCTTATTGCCATCTGTTTCTCTATTCGCGCACAGTTTTCTTCATCTCCTTCATCTTCGTCCTCATCTTTCTCTCTCTCTCTCTCTCATTTTTTTTTATGAAAAAAGCTTTGTCACTAATCGTTTGACTGGTTGTGTTGTCTGTTTAGCTTTTCTCTTCTCCTGTGGAGAAATAAAAAATATTTTTTATCTGATTATTAACTGTTTTACAAATGTATTTCCGTTTCTTGCGTTGTTCATCATCCTCATCATCTCATCCTTACATCTATTTATATAATTGTAAGAGAGGATGGATAGGATGAAGTGATGACCATCTGAACGATGAACAAGTTGTTTGAAAAAATGATCTATTAATAGGCTTTTTATAGCAGCCATAGCTATGATAACAAAATAATTTTTGGTTGAAAAGGTTTATATATTTCTTATGACGTTAGTACATCAACTACTTATCTTCAACGTTGATAAACCGTCTCGTACTCTCTTCATTCGTCTTCACATTCTTCTTCTCTTTAGATGGTTATGTTGTCTGTTCTCTCTCTTTTATTTCTTTCAGTCATCTTTCCTACCTGCAAACCCCTTATTTCATTCGTTTTACTTTTGATCGTCATGTTACATCGTTTGTGGAATGAACTATCAGTTTCGGCTCATAAAATAATAACCAGGACACCATCTAGGGGCAGGTCTCTGGCGACCTCTCCTACGATATAGAGCACACACTTAACGTTCTCCATCATTAGAGAAATTGAAGAGATATCATCAATTGATAGAAATATTAGACGTTTTTGTGAGACGCGAAATTCGAAGAGACAGAAGCAGAACATTTAAAGAGATTGTGGAAGCACTCCCGCCTTTTGATACGGCATTTGCCAGACACTATCTAACCAAACCGACTGTATTTTGATTTTTTTCAATTTCAACAAAAAACGTTTGCAAGCGTTACTTCCGTGTAAGCCGTTGATTCATCTCATATGTTGTGGAGACTTGTTATAAGCACTTGGATATGATGATGATGATGCTGAGTTCTCTGCAAGTTTTCCATTGATTCCTCTTATTCACTTCCTTCCTCGCTCATATCAGAACATAAGACGTGATTCGTTTGAAATATATTTTATAAGCTCAGCCATTATAACGATTTTTTTCTCTCCAACCAACATAAATGCTGAGCGAAAATCTTACAACCAATGTGTCCTCTGTCGCGCAACTCTTCGATATCGATTAAGCCTCAAATTTCCACGGATTTTTACGAGAAGCAATAGACACACGCGGCTACAACTGCTAAAAAAATTTCAAAGGAAAGCTGTTTCCGCATATGACTTGTAAGACATCATATATTCAATGACGAAGATCAAATGCTTGAAAGTCTTTCATTTTCCAATTTCTTACCATACTGCGATAGCTTTTAGACATTAGGTTGGTAATTGCAGACGATTGTGCACATTTTTATTTGTTCTGCCTGTGATGTAGTTGTTGCTGCAGCTTAGACATCTCTGTCTCCGATAGTTCCCTTCTGTCTCCATTTCTCTACTCCTCTCACCTTCTCTATGCGAGCATTTTCACCAGTCATTTCATCTTCTTCTTCTTTCTTTGCTTCAAAAGCTACCACGTCTTCATTTTGTCGTCTTCCTTCTGTCCCGATGTATGTAAATAGTCGAAGACAACATCAGAATCGGTGGTTTGCTCCGAGGGTAAGAAAAGATGCCAAAATCCTTTTCCTTTACTTAACTTAATATCGACCTAACGCTGCTGGTAGCTCCCTTTTCCTCATATTCCTCTTTATCGTCCTCCATTTTGTGTCTCTCACTATCTCTCTCTCTCTAGTTCCTTAAACAGCAGTCGAAGTTTGGAACCTGCTGCGTGCTTCAGCATGTACTTGCATGCTCATGAACTGCAAATGGCTCTAACGCTGAGACCACCAGCTTCGGAATAATCTACTTCATCCGGAACAGCTTTTATTCTATGGAATAGGAGTGAGAGCTATAGTTGTAAATCTTCAAAACTTTCAATGAAATATTTTCCAACAAACCCATGTATTTCTTTGTTCCTTTGATTCTTGTTTGATCTTTCTTTGATTCTCATCTGATATTGATGGAACTAGCGTTAAGAAAGAATCATTAGTAACATTACACCCATTCAGATCCGGCGCTCAAGTGGGGATGCGCTCGTCCATCTTAATTTTGGCTGCACTCTTTGTGCTAGGAGTTAGGTGAGTTCAATATTAACTCAGATCAAAGAGTAATGCAATTATTCATCATTTCAGAAGTGAAAACATCTCATGTTATTCCTGCGTATCGTATATTGATAAAGATTGTGAGGAAGTTGACCCTGTTAAGTCTGCTGGACTCATCAAGGTAATTATTTCTTCAATACTCCCTCTCCTCTCAAACGCTAACGATTGGTAAATGCTCATATTTCCAGCAATGTGAACCAATTGAAGTGCAATACCAATCCGAGAAGCTTAATGCTATTGGATGCAGAAAGATCGTCCAGGTACACTTATAAGAACAACGGGATTCAAAACTCTTTTACAACTTGCAGAAAGTAGAAGGCGAGTTTTCCACCTCAAGAGAATGTGCTTATACTGGACAAGATGTCGATGGATATAAGAAGACCGGTAACCACGCCGTCTACAAGATTTACTATCAATGCACCAACACTCAACCGGTAAATTATAATTATCATCTGATGTAATTAATGATTTGATGACATAGGGCGAACCCTGCAACACCGTATCTGGACTTGGCTACTACCTCACTTTCATAGCAGCTGTCATTTCAGCTTATTTCCTTTAAATATGTTAGGCTAATCTAGTGCTCTATAATGATTTCTCTTAGTGTGATATTTATGAATCCACTGTCAACTCAGCATTAATTACAAAGATTCGTTTTCGTATATTATGTTATAAACTATATTTTGCGAATTAAATTTGCAATTATTATTAGTCGTCTTACTGCTTACTTCTCTCGAACAGCTGCTAGAAGTTGATCACAGCTCTTCTTAGCATCACCCAGAAGCATCTTGGTGTTTTCTTTGAAGAACACTGGGTTGTCCACAGCAGCATACCCTGTTCCAAGTGTTCGCTTCATGAAAATGACCTTAACAGATATTATTTTTCAACATGTAGATGTCATTGTTAAAAGTCACAGAAGTTTCAATTTGTAATTTCTCAGCTTGCTTCCGAGTTCTCTCTTTCTACAGTGGATTCAAACGTAGGTAAATAAAACTAATTTTCACGATCTAAAGCCTATATTCAAACAGGCCTACTCGCGATCGCTCAACGACCAAGAGATACGTTGAATTCTCGAAGCAAGTCAAACTCCAATCAACAGATCTTTAAATGGTCATAAAATTCATAATGTTCACCTGCTTTGCATTCCAAACACGTAATACTGGCATTCCCGCTATCGAGCTGTTTGGATCATCCTCTGCTGATGAGTTTACAGTATCATTGGCACCTAAAATAATATTACCGATAGATTTGAGTGGCATGTATAGGGTTCTGACCAATTACAAGTGCTACATCTGTTTTCTCGAAATCGTCGTTTATCTCTTCCATTTCTTCAACGATATCATAAGGTACGCCAGCTTCAGCAAGCAAAACGTTTAATTGTCCCGGCATTCGTCCTATCATTTATATCATTCTGTTTAAACCTAGTCTTTATCATACCTGCAACGGGATGAATGGCGAATCGAACTCTTATATTCTTAGAACGTAGCTCTTTCACTAGTTCAGCAATAGGGTATTGTGCTTGTGCTGCACATAACCCATATCCTGGCACAATAATGACTGAGCTTGCATTTTTGAGAGAATCAACTGTCTGAAATATATTTTTCATTGAATAGCAAATGTTCATTCCATTGATGAGGGTATCCCAGGGACACTTGCTCGTACCGCCATAACCCACGTGAATCCCGTGGAATACTTTTTCATGTTCATTTCATCGGGACTTTCGCGGAGAGCGGTTGCATTCAAGAGGGGACCCACTTTTACATACGATAACGCTATATCAGTGTTTTTTAAAAACCTCGTGTATATCTGTTGTTACTGCTGTTCCTTCTATTGACATAGCTTGTCCAGATCCTTTACTTTTAGTTCCCACACCTCCCATTATAACGTTCAAGAGTGATCGATTCATAGCCTGATAGTGTTTGTTATCGAGAAATTGTGATGCAAAGAAAATTAACTTTACACATGATGTAAGACAGAATAGCTCCAGAGCTTCCAATGAAAGCTCCAACAGTGGTCAATAAATCATTGTTGAGCATGAATCCCTCGGCGCAAAGCGCCCAACCGCTGTAACTGTTCAAAACAGTAATGACAACTGGCATATCAGCTCCTGAAATTCAATATTATTGTTTTGTTCAGACAGCATTGTTGTTACCTCCAATCGCCATTGTTAGAGTAACTCCCATTGTGGAGCTCAATGCAGCTGTTGTTCCTAGCATTGATAAACCTGTCATATAATCTGTAGTATTCATGTAGAGCTATCAATAAAATTATGTTGAGGAGTCATATCTCAATTTTCTTACACCAAGAGCAGCAATATTGCTAGCTAACAGGCCACTGTTCAAATAATGTCTTCCAGAAAGCAAAGTTGCTTTCGAAGGTAGAATGCCGGAAAAAAAAAGAATGAAAACTCTTCATCAACAAAGTAAATGATACCTTGCAACTTCCCATATGCCATTAAACTTCCTGTAAAGGTTACACCTCCGATATAAGCTCCCAAGAATAAAGCCAGCTTCGCAGCAGTAGCTTCTGGAAAAACATTATTTCTTCCAATTGAGCCAAAAACACGAATGATTACGATCTGGGTTATCTATCAGATGTTGATACTCCAGCATATAGTTAGCTAGACATGTCATCGTAGCTGCTAAACCAACGAAAGAATGAAAAGCAGCTACCAACTGTGGAAGATCCGTGACCTGTATCAGTTCTGTTAATACATTTGCCAGTTATTCATAGAACTGACTTTTATTTTATGAGCTATTGCCATCCCGATTGCTGATCCTAATCCTAAAGCAGATATCATTTGTGTCAGAGTTTCAGTTTCAGGTGCTAATAAGCCAATAGTAGTAGTGATTCCTCCAGCAACACCAGTCATACCTAGTCAAGAAAGTAAAAAGAAACACTGAAGATATATATTACCCAGAGCATTTCCAAGTCTAGCAGTGTTCTGACTTGATAATCCTGCTAAGGCACCCAAGCAACACAGAGAAGAGCCCAAGTACATGATCGAATGAGAAGTTGGAGACTCCTAGGAGGCAGATTCAAACAAATTATTCAAGCCATTCAAACCAAAGCTAATGCTCCCAAGTATCCTGAGATGAACACGGCTGCAGGAAGTGCATACAGATAATTGTATTCAGGGGGATCGTCTGTTGATCCATTAGGATGAGTGAGAGAGTGAGCTGTTATATCTAACCTTTTCTCTTGAACATATCAAGCATTCGTTTTGTTACAAGAAAACCTCCACCGATATTGATAGAGCTTATAAAAGCAGAACCAAAAGCCAAGTAATGAGGAGCTGTCGAAGGGAAATATCCACCTGGAAATTATTTTGAAAAGAAATTGTTTATGATCTTACCTCCCATAAGACATAGAGCTCCTGCTGCTGTAGTTCCAGATATGGCATTAGTTACAGACATCAGTGGACTGTGTAAAGCATGAGTTACCCCCCAGACAGTATGATAACCTAACATGAACTAGATCATTGGAAAACTCTGTGAATAACCTGCAACTCCGGCTAAGGCGAATGTTGAGGACATATGAGCCAATGAAGGATTTTGACAAGACATGCTCAGAACAGAGAGCCCACCCAATCCTAAAGAACACTTTCTTGATATCAGAATTCATAATCATAAGAAAATACCAACAGACAGCCCAGCCGCAGTTTTTAATGTCTTCTGAAAAGGTGTTTCCACGGGAACCAGAGCAACTTCAGTAACAACAGGCTACAAACGAACAGCTTTAGACAAAATCTTGTAATATACAAAACCTTGGGAGATACAGAAGCATCAACTTTCTTTTTCATCTGCTTAGGCCATTCTATTTTTCCCGCATTCACGATTGTAGATGCATGAACCACCTGAAGCAGATGCTACGACGGAATCTCATTTCACTACCTCGTCATCCTGATTCAAGAGGAATTTATTGTCTTTCTCCAATGACAGTAAGTACTTCGTAATATTATTACCAAACAAGGTGCTGCTTTGTGTTGGTGATCTAAATCAATGAATCCAAAACTTCATAACTTCTTGTTGTACCTGGATGGTAAGTCTGTATATCCGATATGAGAAACACCATGCTTAACATAACATTCGCCTGGTCTTGTTGTTTCGATATTGCCTCCGTTTTCAGCTGCTAAGTCGACAACTACACTTCCTGGTTTCATAGAGCTTATCATTTTCTTAAAACAAAGTATTCAGTGAGGTTTCAATTCAAAACACACCTCAGTTATCAGCATGGGTGCTTTTCTACCAGGTATCAAGGCAGTAGTGATGATGACGTCCACATCTTTGCATTGCTCTGAGAGAAGGGCCATTTCCGCCTTGAACCATAACGTTTATATCGGCATAACTTTAAACTCAACGTACCTGCAGAAACTCCTGACTCACTTCTTTTGCATAACCACCACTGTCTTCAGCATCTTCCTCAATCGTGACTGTGAGAAACTCGGCTCCCAACGATTGGATTTGTTCTCGAACTGCACTGCGTGTATCAAATCCTCTAACTATTGCTCCCTGATGCATTCAATTATTCAAAGAAGAAATCAAACTTCTTACCATTCCTCTAGCTGTTCCAATGGCACTTAAGCCAGCAACACCACCACCAATAACAAGCACTTTAGCAGGAGGTATCTATATTGTGTTATAAGAAGATATCTCATTTTCGGAAGTCATCTATTTTTCAAGAACTAGATAAATGCATGATCATGTATTACTTTTCCAGCAGCGGTTATTTGTCCGTTGAAGAACCGTCCGAACTGATGAGCAGCTTCAACAACAGCCCGATAACCGGCGATGTTGGCCATAGAGGACAAAGCATCAAATACCTGGAATAAAGAAGATATTATACTCAAAAGATAATGCCTAGCTCGAATCATTTAATGACACAAGAGAATGAGATACTGAAGAACTTAGAGCGAAGTTTTCATTTTTAAATGTTTGATAGCACTGAACGGTTGCTCCCCAGTTCTTCATTATCAGAGTGTGAAACGACTTCCGTGCATTGAACTGTACCTGTGCTCGAGATATCCGAGGTATGCAGTCCATTGCAAGAACTGTCATTTCTTTTTTGGCCATTTCCTCCAACAACATTTTATTGTTACTTGGATAAACGAAAGAGATAAGAACGGAAGTATTTTGAAACCGCTTCAGTTCTTCCACAGTTGGCGGTCTAACCTGCAAAAGTGTTAACGTAACTGATGCTTTCACCTCTTCCAACTTTCAATATTATATCCGAGCTCAGTGGTTTTGTTGAGCTTATTATGTGAGCCCCTGCTTTCTCATAGTTTTGATTCGTCCAGTTTGCATACTTGCCCGCATCCTCTTCAATCTGCATCAAGTGTTAGCGGTCAAGATAAGGAATGTACCTGCACGTTATAACCTTTCTTAACGAGCAATTGAACCGTTGTAGGGTTGAGAGCCACTCTCTTCTCTTCTGCAACATTTGAATATCACAAGGTGCAGACAACTATATGTACAGAGGAGAAAACTTAGGATATATTTACCTGCAAACGTTTCTCTCAAAGCTGTTATTGTTAGTTCATTGATTGGAGTTCCACACTTGGTTGAAAAAAAATATTTTTTCAAAATACAGCGTGATCCATTCAAAATATCATTAGCAGGAGTTATAAAACTTTGGACGAGAAGAGGCCTCACTGCTCGCATAATCAGCTGAATATGGAGCAAAAAAACAGCCCAGCTCGACTTGTTTTTCTAAGGAAACGGCTCGATCAATCCACTCCACAAAGCACGTGAGCAATCGTGCGAGTGAAGGCTTATTTTTACTTCCATACAGGAAAGAAAAAAACAACCGTGTAAGACCTAAGTAGATAAAATGATAAGTACAACTATGGGTCTCTTACTTCTTTCACGTTACTATGTGTACAACTGGAGTATTTGTAAACTGTGTGCCATGGAATGATTGAAGCTGCCGTTCGATGATTACTTGCAACATGATTGACTGTTCTCTTTTTTCAAATGATACTGTGTATATGCTGAAATAATTGTAAGCTCAAGGGGATCCTTTAACATGACTATATCCTACTTTCAATTGATATCTAAGGAAACGATATGACGAGGACTGATGCATGACTTTCACTTGTCGTCCATGATTCAGAATCCCGACTGATTTTGATTAATTACCCCCTTTCCCAATTGTTGTGTTGTTCTAATACAATGAAAAGTTCTGATTAACTTCGGTTGAGACATCACCCCGTAGATTGCAGAGGAAGAGACAAATGAAAACAAGATGTATTGCATAACAAACAACAAAAATGATAACCAGAAAAGGAAGTTGCTCTTTTAATTGAAAAATTCTTTTGGTATTCCCATTTGTAACATTCGAAATGATTTCTTCCCAATAAAATGCTTATTCTTGTTCACCGACTGGTGCGGCTCCGATTGGCTGTTCTTCTGGCTTCATTGCGGGGAACAAAAGAACATCCTGAATACGATTTCAGCAACATCTCCAATGTCTCACCAACCTTTATGTTATTACTATCAGTGAGTAACATAGATATGCGATCAATACCCATTCCCCAACCTGCAGTTGGTGGTAATCCATATTCTAGAGCTGTACAGAAGTTCTCATCTATTAATTGAGCTTCGTCATCCCCAGCATCTTTGTCCTACATACTCATTTTTATACAGAAAACATGAACTACTAACCTTAGCTTGTTGAGCAAATCTCTGACGTTGAATGATGGGATCGTTCAACTCAGTGTAAGCATTAGCAACTTCACGCATGACAGCGAAGAGTTCGAAACGCTCAGTTAATCCTGGGGTTGATCTAGAATTTATTCGAAGTTAATATCTTTAAGAAAAACACGATGCTCACCTATGCCATTTAGCCAATGGACTCATAATTTGAGGATGTCCTACGATGAAGGTGGGATTGATGCATTTGCTTTCAAGGAATTCTCCTACAAGCTTATCAAGGAGACGAGCTGTAGTTCTTGGAGCGGAACAGTCAACATTCTTGTCTTTGCAAATCTTATCAAATGCGAGTCTAGCTTCTGAACAGAACATAAATAGCTCAAACAATGATTTACAATTTACCTTCAGTATCAAGAGTATCTGGAGCAGGGAGTTTGACTCCTAAAGCCTCTTCAAGACCAGTCATCATATCAATTCTCTTGAATGGTGGTGTGAAGTCAACCTGTAAATGTTCGGATGCCACAATTCACTAATAATATATATATTTACCTCGAGGACGGGCTCAGTTCCTTGTCCATTTGGATGATATTCGATCTTATGAGTTCCACGAATGGCAAGAACCATCTCTGAAGAGGTCATTTAATGGATTTACTTCGAAGCTATATCATACTGGATAAAAGATCTTCAGTGATTCTCATGACATCTTCGTAATCAGCGAATGCCATGTAGAACTCACAAGTGGTGAACTCAGGGTTGTGAGTCATGTCGATTCCTTCATTACGGAAAAGACGTCCGATTTCATAGACACGATCGATACCACCAACAACAAGCATCTTAAATACAAAACAGTTATAGCATAGGAAAACTGAGCTAACCTTCAAGAAAAGTTCAGGAGCAATACGAAGGAAAAGATCCATCTTCAGTTCGTTGTGATGAGTGACGAAAGGCTTAGCAGTAGCTCCTCCGGCAATTTGGTTCATAATAGGAGTCTCAACCTTAAGCACCTGGTTAAACAACGTGGAAAGATGAGAAATGAAACCTCGAGGAATCCTAAGTTATCTAAATATCTTCTGAGGAAAGTGACTATTTTGCTACGAATAACAAAGTTATTCTTTACTTGAGGATTCATGATGAGATCGAGGTAACGCATACGATATCTGTTGAGAAGAGAGAGGTTGAGCAACAGAATAGCATTTCCTACCTCAATTCCTTATCCTTCAAACCGTAATGAGTATGAGGAAGCATATGGAGACATGGGGTAAGTTGAACAACTTCAGTGGGCAGAATGGAGAGTTCTCCAGTTTTAGTTCTGAACAAAGGTAAGAACAGAACTGAGTGGTTATCATCTACCTAGTTGGGAATCCCTTGAATCCTACAAGATCTCCACGTTTGATACGATCATGAACTTCAGTGAAATCTCCTTCCTTATGGAAACGAGCGTTGGCCATTACTTGCAATCTTGTTCCTTCTCCATGGATATCGTAGAAAACGAGTTTACTTCCCGATTCTCTCTTGGAGAAAATGCGACCAGCAATGCTGACAGGCTCATTCTCGAGAACTTCTTCATTCTTGAGGTATTGATACTTCTCAATATAAGCAGCCAAGGATATGGAGACATCGAACTAAGAAACAATAATGAAAGAAAGGTATGAGATATTACCTTGTGAGGGAATGGATTATCGCCAGCACTTCTTCTATTCTCAATCATTCGAACTCTCATGTTGAAGTATTCTTGTGGGTCTGAAGGATCAGCTTCTTTCTTCTCCTGTATTTGGTATGATTATTAATGCTCATGTTCAAGAAAAAAACCTTTGGAGCTCCGGCAGGAGCATTTTGAGCTTTGGCAGCATCTTTCTCAGCCTTCTCTTTTTCTTTCTGAGCTTGCTTAGCTAAACGTTTCTGTTCACTAAAAAGAGGAATGATATTTTATTTTAATTTGTAGAAGGTAGCCATAGAAGACAAACCTTCTAATAGAAAAACTCCGAGCAATGAGTGCTCTTGGCGAAGCTCGTAGAGCTGTGCCGATCATTTTATTAACAATCATAGTACTCACTTTTTGCTTAGCTTCTTTTCTGAGTTATCAGACATTTCTATCAAAGCAGGTACAAACTAATATTCAATAAGTCACAAGTCACCTTAAGAATTAGAATTTATTTTTAAAATGTTATGGAACAACTTTAAAACAAATGAGAGCTGTTTTCACCTCACAAGTAACCAGGTTGTGTAAAACAAAATGTTATGCAATTCGATCAATCGTGTCGGGACCAATTGAAGGTCTGTCATCTTCTACTTATACTGTTGTCTCTCTAAGGCGTTTCTACTGAACTCATAGTACCTGATAAGCTCAATGGAATACTGTATAACAGCTTCTTAGTATGATAAGTCTCTTAAGTTCCATTTTTTTAATTCTTCAACCTTAAACTTCCAATAAAATTTTTTTTATTACATCACAAAGAAAACTTTGAACTGAAAATTCAAAACACAGAATCACAACACCAAGGAAGTGATGAAAATTTTCGACGAGTCTCTCCAGTTATCTTGAAGTCGCCAATCTCCGAAGATAAGAAAACATCTGAAAGCGAACATCTTAAGAGGATTCCTGAGAAAACCTGACACTAGGAATCACCCATTATTTCGTGGCCGAATGGTCTAGGGGTATGATTCTCGCTTTGGGTGCGAGAGGTCCCGGGTTCAAATCCCGGTTCGGCCCAAATTTTGGGTAAGTGGGGCTGTCTAGAGTTTACCCACCGCCCCAGAACAGTGGGATGCGACAATGTGAACAAAGTTCCTATAGGAATGTTGTCGAATTGAGTTCTTTTTGAATGTTCAGTGATCTAGCTCATCTGTTATGGGTTGGTGTGTTCTGAGCGGTATTTTTGAAGATTTTATTATGTGAGAAGGTTATCTGCCCAGAATATCTGTTGAGGGACATTCAAAACGTTGACCTCTGCTCCGAGACAATTTTATTCGGTTCGGCCCAAGTTTTGGGTGACTGGGTCTTATAGGTTGCTTAAAATCTTGATTGCTTCGTAGATCTCAGACTACTACAGAAATCGAATTGTTAGCCACAGGCCTAAAACGATGGGTTGCAAAAATTGAGCCGATTTTACAAATTAACGTGGCCGAATGGTCTAGGGGTATGATTCTCGCTTCGGGTGCGAGAGGTCCCGGGTTCAATTCCCGGTTCGGCCCACAGTTTTAGTGA